CAACATTGGTTTTTTTTTTTGCGGCTTGCAGCATCTGTTCTGCCTATAACAATGTAGGTCCTCTTACAAAGCACTGCAACAGAAACTTTCAAACTAGTTCATTTTAACTTCTTTCACTAACTTTTTCTATCTGTATCGATTTATGCCCTCCTGTAAAATCTTTAGCGGATTATGCATGCTACTAGTTGTGTTAAATGTGAACTGACGCTAATTTTTCACATGTTTTCAGTCAATCGGAAATAAGCCCGTTGTATCGGGTAGGGTCTTCGTTAATCTGCCAGTCACGTCTAAACAAGACTTCTTTTAGTATGTTCTCGTCATACACAGCTTGCCTTTTTCTTCATGGTCGATAACATAAATTTCTTCCCAGCTAAGCTCGAGTCGAATTTTTCCACGAAGGCGATGATCACCCTAGTGCAGAATAATGGGGGTACGGATATTTCAACAAAGTACAGTCTTCTATTTGTAAGCATACGATCAATCTCCGTATATGTCGCACCGTTAGATGACTCCAATGTTCCAGTGGTAACTTTCTTCCTTTTAGAAAAAGGAATTTCCGAGGAAGAAGCGTGCTGTGGACAAAAGCCCTGCAAGACGGTATCCACTTCTTTTTTCATTTCCCTAATCGAAAATTCCCGATTCTCTATTCGTTCTTGTTGGCTTTTCCTATTGTGACATTGAGGTCTTCTGACAAAGAATTTATAAAAAGATTTACAGTTGCGGATACCTTTTCCCAACTGATAACTGACATCTAATTCGTACTTATCAACTGCACTGGCTGGTGAGTCATAACTAATGATACTGATTTGCTTATAATGCGTTGGTTGAAGATGAAGCAAGGCTAAACAAAAGAAAAGGATTTCATTCGAAACGATAAGATGGATAATGAAGGGCTGGACATTCTGGGACAGTAACTTTTCTATACGTATAGCAACGTTCCTAATGCTTAATTGACATGTGCAGTTCTTCGCGCGTTTTGCTTCTTGTGGTGCGATCACATGGAATTTGATGCATTCTGTGACTTCAACAAGTGCATGAAATTCGGCGTCTAAAAAGCGTTTAGGAACTAAAGATGCCAAGTAAAAAATATTCTTCATAACGTGTTGTAAGAATGTTCGTCAAATCCGGTTCCATAACGCCTTTCGCAACCTCAGCTTTAGCGGTCTCTTCCTGGTCCTCTCACCGCTCCTCTCAATACTTGACGTCCTAGATGGGAGCACCCAGTGTGTGGAGTATCAACGCTGGTTATTGCTGGTTGAGCAATTTCTTCTTCATTGGTGTCCTCAGTTAACACTGCTATAGTATTTTCAGGTCTTTACCACGATGTGTATCAACGGACAGCACCATTTTGGCAATGATTCCTCCAATCATTCGTCCTACCAGTTGATGCGAATGCGATTTTAGACAGAAGTCAAAAATGAAAGTAGGAATGAGAAATTCACTCACTGTTCAAGGATGTTTTTCTTATTTTGCTTCACACAATCCGTCATCGCATCTACTGTGCGAATTCCAGCACTCCTTGCACTCTTGTATTCGAGTTATTTGTTTGCATCCGTCATCCAAGAACATCTTCAAACTTTTGGCTTGTGAATTCGGCCTCTACTGGAGCACTGCATCTTCCTTATGAATGTCGTAGAATGCAAGTCGAGTCGACACCCTTTGTAATCTTGGAGGTAACTGAGGTAACGCGCTCCCTTGTGGATTGGATGAGAGTGTTGGGGAGGCGTCAAACCAGTACCTTTATTCCTGATGGACTGCATCACTGACCACTGTGTAACATTGCGGCAGATGCCGAGGCTGGTTGATTTTTTATAGGAAACATTTCTATAGAAGCTCAAAAAAGCTATCTTTCGCCTTACCGAGTCGTCACCATAAGCAGTTGCTAACTCCTCACGATTGGAAAATTTACCACCATGAAAATGGAGTCCCTTTAATATGATAATAAATGGTTTATTCTTGTCTGGTCTTCAGAGTGGATGTATCAAAATACTTTCGAGCTGAGGTTACCCATTTGGGGAACAAACCTCGCGTTATACATAGCAGGTTAGTAGGAAAAGTAGGAAAATACTACATGTATCACCTGGAATTCTGTTAATCACCAACTTCACCAGGTACACAAAAGGTTCTAGTCACCATTGCCACACCTCGAGGGTATCAGCGGACTTCCCTTTCTCGAGGAACTCGAAAGACACTACATTTTCCGTATTATCAGTACTCTTCTTACTAATTGTTACTACGTGTGATTAACTGGGAATTTTAGCATAATGTCCAGATAGATTGACAGGGTCTTTTTTTGAGTACGCCATATATGAGCGGCTTGTTTGTTGAAGATACGACCGCAAACTTGTCTAAAATGTCGGATGATAGCAAAATCCACGAACGGGGAAAGAAATTCTCTTTTCAAAACGATGTTATGGTAGTGGCACCAAAGAGGAGTGTAGGAAGGTTAGAAAGGCCATGCAATACGCTCATGATCGCTGCTTCCATCTCACAGTGAACGAAGAAAATCCGTTTACCAAAGCAAATTGATACCAGACCTGTCAGAGGAGAGCTCTGTCCAATTCAAAAAAGTGAAGACCACTTGCGTTGAAGACCTAAGAATAGAAAGAACTTAAACAATATCCAATGACACTTATGAGCGCAGAAACCCTCAACTAGCAATCGAACCAACATGTAATTCCTAAGCTTAGAAAATCGAAGACAGGAACGTCTAAAAACCGTGCAATATATGAACATATACGAATAAATATCGATAAACAAGTCTAGAGCAACACACGCACGACATACTATAAAGGCAGCTTTTTGCCTTTCTCCCACGCTTAATGATAGGGTCATTATTATTCTTCGAAATTAAGCTAGGTCATGAAATGCCGGTGATATGAGTGTGCCACACATTAAACTATTCTCCATCAGCTTACAAGATCCTGTCATCATAATGAGACGTACTGTATCTTCAACCATCGCACAGAAGTTTAGCGACCATTCTCTACCTTGTATTCTCTATTTTTAATCCCGTCCTACTTCTCTATGTTATCCGTATAATGTTCCATGAAATTTTCTTCTTGTTGTCATCTGTAGAATGTGTCATAGCAGCTGGGTCGCGTTCTTGCAACGTATTTGGCTGGAGAATGCTTGCAATCTGTTTATATTTCAACATTTGCATAACCATAAAAGCACTCGCTAGAAATAGTCACGCATACTGTAGCAACATGTCTTTAGTTAGCGTGTATATGAGGTTCATGAGTTGTTTCAAAACTGGTAGTACAACACGATGAGTGCAGTTAGAAATATCCTTAGCCTGTTCTTGATAAGAGCGGAAGGTGATGGAAGCACGACGGCGATCTTAGAATACCTAACTGCACTCATCGTGTTGTACTACCGGTTTTGAAACTACTCATGAACCTCAGATACACGCTGTCCTGTGTTATCACTGCTACCTTGTTATTGTTGCTATACCATATATGAATGCCTAATTCCCAAGTGTGTGACTCACTCTGCGGGCATTCACCAAAGGTCTTGCTTGAAAATTTTTAAGAATTCGAGAGGTTTATATTATCTTAACTAATACATCTGCTGTTGCATAGACCTATTCGAAATTTTGCCTAACTCGCCACATTTGCCGACTCAAGGGGCACTTTAAACTAGATGACACAAAAAAGATTGTATGATCTTTAAATATTAACCACCGTCTCAAGCTTTTGAGTTAAAACCAAATTAGGCGCATTCTACGATCAGTTCCAAAAAAAAAATTAACGAGAACGAAAAAAGTGGGCGAACAACTATCTAAAGAAGGTGATAGGCTGGATTGTGGAAATATCGTCGTAGACTTCACAACACACCAAACGGACCAGATGCACGGCAGAGACGTCACTCATACGAACGATCGCGAGTTGGTTACCAGAAGGCAACCTGAAGCAAACGGGCGCGTTAAAGTCTCCAAAGGGAACATGTACTTATACCAACTTCGAGACAGACGCAAAACGAAATTCGATGCTTCTTCTGCACCTGATCACTTACAATTGAACATATGAGTGTAAATGGTTACAATGACAAGCGAATTGATCAGACTAGAAAAGCATGTCGCGGAGAAAATAAACATCACCCAGCTCTGTGTCAACCTTTTCAATGCAACGGCTTTCCCAGCCTAAATATGTTAGCGAAACTTGCACGTCGAATGAGCTGGATGAAAAATGTTCCCAGAGTTTGTGAGTTGGAAGGAGCTTTGTTGTTTTACGCATCGCACTCATCCAGGACTGCAGCGATTCCTCTAACGTAGGCAATTCTGTGGTTAGTCTCATCGACCACTTAACTCCGATAAAACGATCCGAATATACAGGTACTATTTTACTTTACATGACCCGTGATCACACGCTGTGTGGATCCTAGGACTCCATGCACTGAATTCATTTAGATGTTGTGGTCGACTATTCCCTCACTTCAGTCTTGGAATAGCTGTGCTAGGGCGTTCCCAGATCTTCACGACAGACAAAAGCCATCTTTTTCTGGATAGTAGGGAGCCAGTTGACTCCAAAGTAGTTTCTCAGCAATTCTCCGATTTCAGTTGGATGGGAGGCCTGGTGAGTTCGGTGCACTTGGTGCACAGTTGATTCATGGCGTTGTCCGCACTGAACGGGATAGGGATTTAACAGAAGATATGTATAGTTCTTTCGGCATATTCCACTGCAAGAAAAAAAAATTATGAAGTAACAAAAACCACTTTATCCTGCATAGTAGACACTTGAATGAACCAAGTAAAGTAAAGTAAATTGCTTCAGAATAAAAGGCATTCAATGCAGTTCAAGTTACTGTCACACCACAAATGTGTTTGAGCATTTGCTGAATGAACTTCATGAACCCAGTGATGCTCTACCGGTACACAACTGAATGAGAACATTACTGTGAGAAAACAATATACACGATGACAGAGAAAAAGAAAATTAAGAAAATATGAGAGCTAAGGAGAAAGCCAGATTACAGTATCTACAATTTGAATGAAACACTCATGAGAAGTTAGCAAGCGTAGCACGCTCAACAGAAAAAGAATAGGTGAATTCTTCCGAATCCAATCTCCGAATGTCAAACATCACCGTCGGATCCACAGAATTGTCTTCCTAAAAATTTTTTGAAAAATAGATCCAGATGTACTATTTTCCTTCAATATCAGTTTGAACACGATTGACACGTAAACTATATTCTAATTACTAAATACTTTGGCCGCTAAAGTCTATGTTCCAAACAATTCGCTTAGAAAACCTGAGACAGGATTGAATGCTACATACATTCTCGCGCAGAAAAAATCCTCATCTCTGTTAAAAGACTAGTCTGTAAGTTCATAAGAGACAAAAATTCGAAACAAGTAAACCAATAGGCACCACTGCAGCGCGCAACTTCGAAGCGAGTTGAGGATTCAGTTTAAATGGAACACCATCGAGACCGCGAAGCTTTACAGCACCGGTATTCTAGAATGAACACTGTACAAAGAAGATAACTACGACTGCAAAAAGCTTCAAATAAATGTATTGTAAGATTTCGAAACAACTAATAATTTCCTTCGCTTTCAAAGTTTCACCGGTAGTAAGACCGACAATCTGAATTCTGACAAGAACCTATACCACAAACATTAGTTTGAGAATGGTAAACAAGGACGATAACAAAGAAAACACACGACAGTACCTTGATCGTAAACGTATTTGCATTCTGCTTCTGGTCCAAATTAGCTGGAGTTGACCCAGATTGACTAAGGTGTGGATAAAGACCAATAGGTGGTGGAGCTAAGTTCCCGGAATTGCTTGACAGTGCACGATCACTTCAAAGGAGAAAGCATAGGCCAGTTACAAAAACGAATAGAAACCTTTAATACCTTGTACTGTACTTTAGTCCAAACGTTGGTGGGACAACGATAACACGGAAACAAATTGCTGCACCGTCGACTTCGCTATTATAAAAGTATCTCAGTTTTTCGTAGAATAAGCAGAAATGTGAGGTACGATAAAGAAAAAACTCTATTAAAAGAAAAAATAAACAAACCCAGCCAATGTAAAATCACGAGGGGTTTTCTTTTGCTTATTGAGGATGATGACTTCACCCACGGCATCGACAATGGAATCACGTGGCTCCGTTTTAATGCAAATGAAGCGTTTTCGTAAAGCTTTTTCACCTGAATGAATCAAAAAGTGCTGCGGAAAGAGGACTTTTAACACAAATAAATCTCTAGGTGTACAAAGTCATTAAATCTAACAGTCTGAAGTTTGTGAAACGTGAAAATAGATGGTAAAAGTAGATGTCCATCAACGGAAAATCCTCACTTAGAAACATAAGACTTCAACGTAGAAGTCTAAAATAACTAGACTACAACACAACACAACTACACATCTTCCCCAACCGAAAAAAAGAAAAATACTTTCCAACCTTGTCCCAAAACAGTTAAACATTTGGAATAAGAGGTTCACTACATAGTCTCTTCATTTTGATTTACACAACTATTTGAAGTGGCCAAATAACTGTTAAAACTTCGATAAAATCTACTTACGAGAATCTGCACAATAGTCTATGGCAATAAATCCATGAGGTATTGGATCAGTGTCTTTTACGACAGTAATGTCACTAACCAGAGATACTGTTCCCTTAAAAACGAAATTTTAGCAAGCTACGCTAATTTTTGCTAAGGCTAACGCCATAATCTTAACTCTTTTATTTACTGCCTTTTTCTTCTTAATGGCAGGTTATGTTTCGAATTATAACTCGTATGAAATGCTGAGATATTTGCAAAACTCCGGACCACAGGTGTATGCAGTGGAGAACGAACACGCGCTGTCGTCCTTACCGGGGAGCAGCGCACTTCACCACTACACCATCCGGGTCCTTTGCATGTCTCTCAGCTAGTTCTATCGATCTTTTTGCCACCAGCAATCACCCGTCAGCGGGGTTGATCTGGGGAGCCAATATCGGCATTGAACCCAGTTAAGCTGAGGCTTAGTTATAACCACAATCTTAACTCTTTTATTTACTGCCTTTTTCTTCTTAATGGCAGGTTATGTTTCGAATTATAACTCAGCTTAACTGGGTTCAATGCCGATATTGGCTCCCCAGATCAACCCCGCTGACGGGTGATTGCTGATGGCAAAAAGATCGATAGAACTAGCTGAGAGACATGCAAAGGACCCGGATGGTGTAGTGGTGAAGTGCGCTGCTCCCCGGTAAGGACGACAGCGCGTGTTCGTTCTCCACTGCATACACCTGTGGTCCGGAGTTTTGCAAATATCTCAGCATTTCATACGAGCTAACGCCATAGTTAAGAAGTTGCTAAAAGTAAGAAACTGACCCGTATAGTTGCTTCAGGTACCTCACGACTAATTGCTAAATATCGGACGGGACGAGACCAGAGCGAGAACGCGCTCTCGCGCCATAAGTCCGCATCCGTACTGTCGTCATGACATCGTGTGATCTGATGATGCCGAGGTACTCTTTCATTTCGAAGATGAAAGAAGAATAAAAAAGAGAAAATACACCGAAAGAAGGAAGTAATGAAGCATTTAGTAGTACAACAAGAGTACTTCCGACGGAAAGAACATAAGAGTTCCGGTTCAATTCGGACATTCATTGTTCCGTAACAGTTTTCAACGCTTTGTAAATCAATAAAATAGGTGCATTATAAGAAGCCTTCCAATGGTTTGCCCTCTCATCGTGGCTGGGAGGTGTTCCTGGGTGTCGGCCTGCGATGTACAGAGGGCGAATTCGTCCCCAGCAAGATCTCTCAAGCTGAGGTGTCCGGCGTTTCCATCAGGAGGCTCAGTTAAGAGTAAACCAACATGAGGATCCGTCAACGTCCTGGTATCAAACTAGTCACGTGGTGGCAAATCTCACTCTGATCCACAAGAGCGGCGGATACCTGTGGTGCTGACGACCTGGGGTAGATGACCTCGGGACTAGGGAACCACTACTCATAAGCCAACAAAATTCCGGAAAAAAGCAGAAATTATGCCGCGGCCAGCACATCAAGTGAAGACAGGCCATCCCAGTATCCAAGTAAGTATTATAAGAATAAAAGTAAAATACCGGTGTAAAGCCTTTAGGACATTTGTTCTTGTCTGCAACTATACATACAGCCGTTATAGGCAATGGTGTCGCCTCATAGTCCTCAGATTTAGCTAGTTCTCTTTCGACCATTACCCTGAAATGATATGAAGAATGAAGAGTGATATGATGAAGAAAAGATAAAGAATGATATGAAGAAGACAACATTAAAATATCATTCATCACATATGTTTAACATAAAGCAATTCGATTTGCAACAAAATAACACAAGTCTCGCTAAGCAAACCTAGGAAAACGACGAGGAAACGGAACGAGATGCCTGAGCAACCAATCAATATGAGAGTGGATGACGTTAAGGAAATTGAAAAAATGTTCGTGACCTCGGATATCACAACACAAGTATGAAGAACTCAGTACAAGAAATCTTTCAGTGAATTCCACCTCCACCCATTTGGCCCTATTCGATATCCCATAAAATCACTCTGTTCACATAGAAACGTTGAAATATGCTAGAGTTGGTAATCAACCTCGTGGATTATCGTCGTCAAGGAATGCCGAGTCAAAGTCACAACATCTCCTTCAATCCACGCAGGATTCCCGATATAATCGATCTTTTAGGAAATATCGAGACATTATGAAGATAAGAACAAACGAAATGGTTTTTCCAAGAAATTTCATATCGATCTAAAAAAAAGCCTAAAGAAAAGGTCGTTTTAACCACGGCACTAATTGCAACCACATAAACAAACCACTAACAAGTACGTAAAGGTCAGTAGCAACAGTAAGGATGTTAGCGCTGTTCAAAAAAAATGACTGGTGAATACTTAGCACATTATGTTCTCCGTGGAGCGCGCAAAATATCGCTCGCCCTGTACCTCAAGATGAATGCGTTGATCGAGTCCAAGGCGTGCATAAGTCAGATGTGTACTGAGATAAAATTTTTCTGCTAATGAAAGGTCGTTTCAAGCACGGCGGAAAAGCACTTTGAAAAAATGTTCGTGACCTCGGATATCACAACACATCAGTACAAGAAATCTCACAGGTACACAGGTCGTTTCAAGCACGGCACTTTTTTTTGTTTCCATTGATAGGGATTCAGGATAGTTCCAATAACGAACTGGCGCTGCTGTTGAGTTTTCCAGTTTTTCTTTCTTATAGTTGTCCATCAATGTACTGGCACATACTTGCCTATGAACCCCATCAGAATTTCTTTCGGAATCACTGAATAGTTAGGATAATTATTAGACACGGAGGCACCCTGCAATACACATGGAATCGATCCCCACGCCCCAGGCTCACCAAACGGTTCATCTCTCCGAGGTCGGCAGATAGGTACCAGACTTTCCTGGGAGAATAGCAGCACTGGCTCGATATATCGATAGGCCACCGCAGGTCATTGCAAAAGCCAGACATGCGATCAATCACCCCCAACGATGCTTCACCTATGAATTCGAATGCACGGCGCATTCCTCAGGGATTGATTGATCAACGCAGAGAGCCTTATCCATTTATCGGTTTAACTTTTAGTCAGACACGTATATGACTTTCTTCCACGCGCTTGTAGCCCTTAACAGATTAGCGATGACTTTTAATTTTGTGTGGTCAGCCTTTCTATACATTGTATGAAATGTGCGACATATATTTTATACGTTTTCTATGTACTATTTTAAGCAACAGATCTTAATATACGACTTGTCAATGTTACTAGTTTTGCTTCCATTTGGTCCACTTTGTGGTTTTGCTATTCAGTTTGGGAAAAGGAAAAGTTTCAGGATTTCTCCAGCATTTCTGTTCTTGTGGATCCGGACATAAACGTAAACTTAAAGTCAATGAAGCACCTCATAATTTCAAAATTACCTTTCAAACGTGAAATTGCGTAATGACAGGGACAATCCGCTCTCATTACCTTTTCAACGCTTGATTTCACAGCTACGGTACATATATAAGAGATGGCCCGAGTGTTTGAAGAAAAAGTAGCTGTAAGTGAAGCAACAACGAGTAAAATAACTGTTTCGAAAGCGAGTTCGAATGTCACAGAGAAACTCTCCTGTTAAGGGAATGCGACATGAACTGAACAAAAGGTAAGGATCGCATAAAATCTGCTCCTCTGCACTTCTTTGGCGCAATAAAAACAATCCTTTTCTTAAACGTTGTACTCAGTCGATAACATGTTCCACAGAGAGTTAACAGAAGTAGAACACCGTGCACTGGTCAATTTTATCTCTAAGTTCCACATAATTTCCATTGGCAATAGTTTAAGGAGCATCGGACAACCCTCCCAAAGGTTTACCGCCTCATTGTGGCTGGGAGATGTTCCTGAATATCGGACTGCGATGTATAGCTGGGTGATTCATCCTCCTGTCAGGTTCTTCAAAGCTGAGAAGGAGTTCGGCGTTTCCATCAGGAAGCCTAGCTAAGAGTAGAGGCAATACCAGGATCCGGATCCACCACCGTCCTGGTACCAAAGTGGCATGATGACAAATCTCCCTCTAATCCACATGGGCTGCGACTGGCTGTGGTGGTGAAGACCTGGATGGAGAAGACCTTGGTCAGGCTGATCTCGGGATTCCAGGTAACCACAATCGCTTAACCAGTAAAGCTCCGAAAAATCGAGATTATGCTGTGGCCCGCACAACCAGTGAGGACGGTCCATTTAAGTATCAAGTAACAAGTAAGTAAGCATCGGACAACATCGCAGAAATTAACACGACTCACAGACAGAGGTAAGGCAGCATGGTTTCTCCAAACATTTTATTCATCCATTCTCTGTCATCGAAGGCAACTTTGCATCAGCAGATGGCTATGACGACATTATCACACTCGGAAGATACATTCATTCATTAACAAAGAGTTAAAAGAATGCACTGCGCACTGCGTGTGCAAACGGCATTGATCAGCAGAAATGGACTAATTCTGCAATACAAGAATGACCGGCCTCATGACTGACAAGTGATATTATAGAAAGTGCACTATATTTCCTACCTTATCCTTTTCACAATACCTATGCCTTAAAATTACTGTGCAGATCTCAGTACTTCTTTCATTAGATTCGTTTCCTCACATCCATCATCTCTGACGGTCTTTGAACTTCTGCGCATGAATTCGGCTGTTTCTTGAGGACTTCCGTTTGTGTTACGAATACCGTTGAATGCTGGTTGAGTCGATTCCCCTTTCAGACCTGAGATAGCCGCGCTAGAGTATCCCCACGTTAGGAAGTAAGTTGATCCTAGACAAGTCTGGTAGCAATTTCCCGAGGCTGAATGGATAGGAGGATTGGTGAGCACTGTGCGGGGTCTGCGCCACCCGCTCCTAAACAACTTTTACCGGAGTGACTAGTAAGTTGATTCGCCAAGGGCTCATGCTTCGACGTCCAAAAGTGGAAATTTGAAGCACGCATCATTTTTCACTGCTAAAAGATCGAATGCACAGATCATTCAATCCATTTATCCTACCACGGTATGTAGCACAGCTCTTACGAATGGTTAGAAAAGATAAAACGATCAGCGTTGATCATGAAGACGATACGACATGCATTCGTCTTCATCAATCACCATTAGAGGTGACTGAATTAGAGCACATCTGGCCACCTGCGGTGGCTTACTGATGTATCACGTCACTGTTGCTATCCTCCCAGACAAGCGAGGTATCAATTTGCTGACGCCGGTGAGACGGAAGGCATGGTTAGGTTAGAGCGCCGAGTCGAACCGACGACCATACATGGATTGCAGGGCACCTCTAGCTACTGCGCTACAAGCGTCCTATCCTATAAAATGAGATAGAATACACAATCCATGGGTTGAAAAGATTTACCAGGGTTCAGAAAATGTGCGAAAAAAAATTGTACAATAAATTCATCCTATGGAAAACGATGGGCGCGTGTGGCGCAGTGGTCGGAGGCGCCCTGCAACACACACGTGGAACCGATCCCCGCGCCTATGGCCCACCAAGCCTTCCATCACTCCAGGGTCGGCAAGTTGGTACCAGAACTGTCTGAGAGGATAGCAGCACTGGCTCGATACATCGGTTCGCCACTGCGAGTCATTCTAAAGGCCAGAAATGCGTTCAGTCACCTCCAAACGATGTTTAATGAAGTCTAATGCATGGCGCAACCCTCAGCGATTGATCAACGCCGAGGGTTGTAGAGCTTTTTTAATGGAAATCTCAAACTAAACGATGACCGAGAACAAGAGCGACAAAGCTCCTTAACATTATTGAAATCAAGAGGTACAAGAGGTACCAAACATATAACAACAGACCAAGAAATTACAACCAATGATTCTTAATACTAATTTACAATATGGCTGTCAACTTGGATCCACAGACGGGCAAGATCTCGGGTGTTTGTCTAGGTGCATCATTTCGCTCTAGAGCACGTTTTCTCAACTCCTTTCCCGTATTCTTCTTTACTGGTCCAGCTTTGTCATAAGTACGGTCATAGTTTTTCCATTTTTAATCTTATAGACAGAACTTCATAAAGTCGAACAGTACTTCCAGCTCCCAATTTATTGACGCAGCAGTTATAAATCTTGGCTTGCTCATGAATCATGACATTTTAATCACTTACTTTAAATCTTATGTAAGTTGTAATGCAAAGTAACCCACAGTTTTGTGGTCCGCATCCTTTACATAGAGGATCCAAAACTTTAAAGGCTTTATGGTTGTTAATATGTTAGCAAGTAAGTTCATCAAGCATGAAACGTAGCCCCGTACTTGTCGGCGACTATTCCGTGCAAGTTCGGACGAAGTCGCATCCAGAAGCTTTTTTGATGGATCACGGATGTGATTACAGTTCTCAGTGATGTCGGCTGGTAAAAAAAAATTGTAACCAAGACTTGGGTTTTTGTACTCTATTTAATTCCATAAATGAATTAATTTTTATTCGATATTATATCTCTCTGTTTTTGTCTATCGTTTACTTTTACCCCTTGGTTTAATGGGTTGCTTCAGAGAGAGAAAATGTTTTCGAGATTTATGATGAACGTCATTCATTTTAAACATTTCAGATTACATTCATAGTTAGCCCATTCCGCCTAATGCTTTCCCGCTTCATCAGCACTGGTATATGGCTGCTCCTGGATGTTGAACTGCGATCTACTATTGAGAGTTCATTCACTAAGAGAATCTCCCAAACTGGAGAATGAGTTCAATCTTTCCACCCAGAAGCCCAGCCGGGTATCAACCAATGCTAGAAACCACTTTCATTGCTAGCATTTGCTAGCAACCTGGAAAAGTCTTAGTTAGATTAGTGGCTTTCGAGACTCCTAAGGAGAAAGCCGCTCAGTCATCATCTTACCAGCCCATTAGGAATTATTCTGGGGTCTGCTCTATCTTCATTATTCTGCAGGACTGACTATTCATCTAAGTTGCCACATTTTCTCTGTTTTTGTATTGTTTTGTTTAACTAGCCAATAGACCTGGAGCAAACTTTGGCTAGGATGACCTTGGGACTCCAAGAAACTGCATTGACTAAACCATCAAAACTCTGGAAAAGTGGCGATTATACTGGGGCCGCACAACCAGTGACGACGTGCCATTCAAGTACCCAAGTAACTAGCCAGTTAATGCCTTCATGATCAGGCACTTCACATCTGTTTTTATTTTTAGAGACCTCACTGTAGTATCATGATTTTATCTTAACACTGTTTGGAATAAATATTTCGAACTTGGGGAAAGTGCTGGGAACTTCGGTTGACTCCAGGTGAGCTCGAAGCAGAGACGATATGCAACACTTTACTGGATCGCGCTTCTCGCGCGGCTTCATCATTACATTTAAAAATACTGTGACTAAGCTAGCGAAACAGATGTATTGATTCTTAGAGGAAACGTTATTTGTGGTAGGAACTGTTCTTCAACACATGATGATTGCCTATCAAGTATAGCGTTCTTATCGGGGGACATTGATTGACCAACGACACCGCGATAAATTGTTTTCCGTAAGGTTCATTCGCGATCGTTTGCCATACTTGGCAGTCACATTATTGGTTACTTGTTTGACTTTTACTTAATAAAGTCTCATTTTCAGCTAAATATCAACAAGCGGTGAAAAATTTTTGTCAGTCAATAAGTATTGACTGAACGTGGACCTGATCTGTGCTTCATTTCATCGAGAACTCCATTATGAACCCCAGACAACTCTACTTATTCCTGTACAATTCTGTGCAGTTTGTTGGGTAAGAGATTTCCTACAGGTCACTATTGTAACCTTTTTCTTTTCAAATAGAATTAAAGCCTCGGCTTATTAACGGCTATGGCATTCTTTCTTTTCTACCGACCGATTACCAACCTTTTCTGTAGTTCTGTCTTTTCATTGTGATTTATTCCAGCTGGGGAGTTGTTCTTTCAAAAACTTTGTTCGGCTTAACTAAACAACTCTCATGGCCTCGGTTGTACAAATCCGTTCAAATTGAGGTACAACTGTTCCAGACTCTTGCCATCCTAGAGGTATCCTGTTATGTTTAACATTTAGTTTTCAAGCTATAGGTGCAATTGTTTTCATTGTTACATATATTGTGCACTTTTAAACAATACCGAGACCAATTAAGCTTTCTTCTAAGGTGATCCATGCTATGCTTGGCCTTGTTCGTTCGCCGGTTGGAACAACCCTTATGCAGGTTTTTAGCCGTGTGACATTGGTTTGGCCGATTCTTCATGTCTGTGCCAGTGTACGTTTTCCTTCCAGAGTGGTCCTTTTAAGTGACTGGGCTGTTTCATCTTTCTGTTTCAAACCTTTTTTGCAGCCATATCCCCAAACATATGTTTGCACAATTTTATCTGTTTCTTCTTTCCTTTCGTTTCTTTTTATGACAGAATTATTGTATGGAGTATTTGGTGTTTCAAATCTTAGGCTAGATCCAGCGTTGGGGTTCCAATGCTGCTGGTTGCTTGGTCATTTACTGAGGTTGTGAGGTATTCGTTCTACGCTCTTGGACTCTTCAATGCAGTTCCGTATTTTCTTACTTGGATGAGGTATGCAGGGATTTTAAAATTCAGCTCATATTAAGCAGATTTTGACGTAAAAGAGGTGTGGTAGAGTGTAGGAGAACATTTGCTATGCATTTACGACCCACTTTCTACGTCATGTAGCGCGTGACGCAGTGGTCGGAGGAGCCCTTCAACACACATGGTACGATCCCCACGCTACTGGCCCATCAAACCTTCCATTCCTCTGGGGTCGGCAAATTAGTACTAGACTGTTTTTGGAGGATAGCAGCACTGGCTCGATACATCGGTAGGCCAGCGCGAGTAATTGTAAAGGCCAAATGTGCACTGAGTCATCTCCAGCGATTCTTAATGAAGTTGAATGCTTGGCGCGTTCTTCAGGGATTGATCAACGCCGAGAGCTTTACACTTTTTATACTTTTCCCACATTCATCTATGTAGAGACGAAACAAAACCACCCTTTTCAGTAAAGTAAGATAGGATAACTGTTCCGTCGAGTGAGCTCTGTAAATTCAACACCTCATCAGCTGTGTTATTTAATGTGGAAAGCAACAGAGAAGAGAACCTTACATTTTATTTTAACATCTTGTGAGGAGCCTTTGAATTTGTTCAGTTTCTGTGTAGCTATGAAATAGAATTCTCTAAAAACTAGGAATTTTTAGGTGTTGTTTCACAATATATAACTTTACTTGGTATAATAACATTTAAGGTACACATTCTTCATAGTCCTCTATCCACTTGGAGTTACTGGCGAGCTTTTGACTCTGATCGGTAGTTTTCCTGAAGTTAGTTCTTTACTCATTGTCAATATTTTTAGGTAACAGGGAAGTACTTGTATAGAGTGGACGTAAATACTGGCTTCCTAACTCCACCAGGCAATCTTAGTATCGATCCATGTTTTATTAGTCGAACTGTTACCTAGTCACTATGTAAACGATTGGATTATTAAAAAAAAAAGCAAATAAGCCTTGTAGGTGGAAGAAAAGAAGTACTTCTCATTGGAAATGCCTAATCCATTAAACATAGGCATTTCGTTTTACTGGATATTGGTTGGATGCGCTCTATTTTACATTCCGGGTTAGTACTTACCACATTTTCTCTTAGAGGATCAAAATTGTACTTATAGTCAAGGTTTTATTTCAGGTTTTCCTCAACTCTACTTGTATATGTTTACTCAGCGGAAAAAGGTGCTAAAAACAAATACAGAGAAGAAAAGACAGTAGGATATTCCTTAATATCCACGGTTATCATTATTCTAATGTATTGTTGGTATAGTATGTCTCGTTTGTGATGATCGTTTACACAAATGTTAATTGTGAACCAGTTTAAGTGAAGTTGATTAGCACTAAGTCCTGGTGAAACTTATACTCAGGAATGACGTCTGCTACCCTCTACTGCAAGCAATGGAATATTTAGGCAAGCCAAACAGAATTTTGACACGTAATTTTAAACCTGAAGCGTTGGTAAGGTAGTGATAGTGATGTGTCTAATACGGGCAAGGCCTTGGTTTGACCATGCTCCAGGCCTTCTATTGCAATGGAGTCGGCAAATTGGTATCAGAATTTTCTGCGAAGTTCCATGCGATCCTCAAGATCTAAGATCGCCAGAATATAGCTATCTGTCTTCTAGGAAGAATCGAGTCGACCACCGTTGAACGACGTTCATGAAGAATGCTAAAATTTCTTAAAGAGGAACCGAATACACACGGACAATCCGTAGACCTTCGTGGACAATGAATGCGAGGGAACTAAGCTAATCAAAAGAGTGCAGGGATGTGCAAAGTATCTAGTATCGAACCATGTTGAATATTTTTATTCTCATTTTATTTCATTTTTTTGTTAGACGACCCGACATTACTTGTATCACACTATGCAGATCCCAGCATATCATGCATTGTTTTCGTTCCCTCGCTTCGTCCATCCAGCAAAGTCTTCAAACTTTTTGCATGTGCCTTCGGCTTCTTCTTGAGCATTTCCCATCTTCGTCATTAATGTCGTTGAATGCTGGTTGAATCGATTCTTTCCTAAATCATCAGACACCCGTCCGAATGCATATCGGATCAAAGAGAGTGGTCTTGTTCCAGACACGTCTAATACCAACCATGGAGTGATGAGAGGTTAGTAAAGCCTAGTGAGTGGTTAAACTAGCACCTGGCAGGGTTGGGCTGTCCACTTAATGAACGATGTCACTACCACTACTCACTCATCATACAAAGTAAGATAGTGCAAATTCAAAATCAATGCGTTCATTTGGTAACAGTCGATCCGTAACTCGTGTTATTAACTTTGTACTTATCTATATCCTTTCAAGATGTTTATCACACAGCTTGTTGAGCATCCATGCTTAAAATACTGGTTGATGTCAAAAGGATCTCATGCACGGCAATATTAAGTAGTTCCACCAAATACGGCCTCATTAAAAGACTTGTGGCTGGGTTGAACGGTGACTAAAAATGGGAACATTTCACTGGTATGAGGAAGAGAGGACAATCTGAGTAGTGTGTATTCTATTACTTTAAATTTATGGATATAAGGTGATAGAAAACTTAGATTAAAATTTTCTGAAAGTTGAATAATGGACGAAGGTCTCTTATTAGGACTATGCATGATCTTGAGCTACATTCCATGAAACTTCCTTAATACCCACTGTGGAAAGTGAAAAGTCTAACTTGGCATAGTATTCCATTTAGAATGACTGATGGATTAGAGGTTATCGGCAATAGTTATGTCTACACAATGCGTAATGACAAATCGCGGATGTCAGTATTTGATACGTTTTGCTCCTATATGAACGAAGATTTCTCTCACTCGATATCACAATTGGGGTAACGTGTGTTTCAAGATGTGTCGTGGTACGGTTACCCTAAAAGGAAATTGGCGAAAATCCAGTTGTTTTTGATCAGAGCTTTTCCACCTACCTTAGATTTCTCTGTGCCCCTATTCGATAATTATTTTTCAGACTTGCTTAGAGTCAATATCAATTACCGAATAGGTTTATAAATCTATGTAATACTGCCGTAGTGGACGGCTTGACAACTTTTCTGGAAGTTACTGATGGGTTTCTGTGTTTAGTCTCCCTGAAACTCTCATGCTCTTAAACCAAATTATGATTAGCATGTCCAGCGTTATATCAATATCCTGATTACACTGTTAAAGTAATACTTTTGCAGAATTAGCAAATATTTAATTCCTTGGTGAAGATACGTTTAGGGATTTGTGGAGAAGGGAGTAGAAAATTTGTTCATAATTAACCTTTTCCTCAGAAACACACACACACACACGCACGCACGCACGCACATGCACACACATTATCATTGACGGAGGACAATATACCATTCTTATTCCTTCTCCATATGTTGATTTGATCAGAAAGTCTCCTGAATGAGCGGTAGGACTCAAGGCATTTATTCCTCACACGGGCCAAGATTGCCCAGTGGGTTCCTTTCTTTCCTAAGCCACGAAGAGCACCATATTTTTCTATAAGCACTTGCTAATGGCTCTCCGTCAGTCGTTATCACGTGACCATCTAATCTGATCCTCAGCATCCTAACCTAAACGGTAGAGTTCCTAATCTCTGATCGTTGTCGTAGATTGAAACTTAGGTTTCCTTCTCTCTTGCTCAGTGCTAAACATAACTATCATCATCCTCTATGGTAATTTTAACTGCGCTTTCACATATCCAACGTAACTTTCATGTATCCGAGGCGTACAGTAAGGCTGAAGGTATCATAGAATCGAAAAATGGGCCCGCACTCGTTGTTTTTATGTTTACCACATCCGCTTTAATATAGTGCATAGTGTAGTGCACGAAGTCCTTCACTGGTTCGGTATCCATTTCAATCTGCAGATATAACGTATGAGATTCGCAAAAAAAAAGCGTGTTGGCGATGATCACCAACTCATAAAACATTATCCATAAGATACTCTGATCCAGACGCTGTGTTCAAGCTTCTAGCTGCAGCATGAACTTTTGCGGGAGGTTTTGTTGATGGTGTTCTACCAGGAGTGCTGGTTTGGCCCACTATAGATATCGTGGAACGAAAAAAATTTGTGTGTAATCTGTCTGTTTTTGATTCTACCCTACTTCGTGAAACCTTTACCTGGGTCAGGAAGTCACCATGATGAGCGACTCGGGTCCAGAGTTGAGCAGAAGGAAGCAAGCGGCTTGGGGAGCTTTCAAGAGCATGAAGGACGCGTTGACGAGAACAGAGAACACCCGACTCTGTGCCTACCCTTCGACTCCACAATTCTCCCTTCCTTAGTGCATGAATAAGACTGTCCTTCGTGTAAGCATAATGGAATGTCACTCAGCTTTAGAGAATGAGGTGTCGAAAGGATGATGCTAGGAATATCCCGTATTATGCAAGCGAGAAAAGGTATTCGAAGCTCCGATGTATGTCAACGATCAAGAATCAAAGGCGCCGTTCTACACGCTAAATTGTCGAAGATAAAATGGTGAAGAAACCAAAGCGTATGAACGACAACCGATGGACAAAGGCCGTCAATGACTGGATTCCTCGGAATGTCAAACATTTTCCAGCAAGGCTACCGAATGGATGGTCAGAGTTCTTCACAAAAAACTTAGAAGAAAGATATGATGGTCACAGAGTCCCTAGAGCAAGTAGAACTCACTGGGGGTACGTCTGCGCGCGACAGGAAGAAATGGGACTTTTGCTGAGCCCGATCGAGCCACTCCACGTCAATGGGACAACAAACGGTAGGAGTGACTGGTATGACTCAGAATGGACTTGTTGTATACGGTGGTAACTGAAGAAAATCTTCGCACGAAGAAGGCTGTTATCTGGTCGGATGGAAAAGATAGGACGATGTCGACGCCGAATACATTCCGCCTTCCGTTCACCAAGATTTTGTCGGTGCCCGCATTGCCCGCACCGCTGTTGGATTCCAACGTCCAGTGCTGATGGTCTTCGTTCTTGAAAAATGGAGTTGCAGGAAGAGACAATACGCAGAAAGTAGTCCTGCAGTGCTCCACTTTCACTTTGATGTTCTGACCCAAAAATACCGATTCTCTACTCAGGTCGTTCTACCTTTCTTATAGTAGTCGTTCGTAGTAAATCTGTAAAATTTCACGTCACGAACGAGTTACCTAGGATTTCAAAAGTTGGTGTTGGGGAACAACAGTTAATGGTACTGCGTTTCTTCTGATAAGCGATTGTAAGGCGTAACAAGGCAAAACGAAAAGAGAGCATATCATGGGAAGCCACGGTGCGAACAGTCTGGCGCAATATACACATAATCGGAAGCAATGTCTAAGCCGTATCGTGGGTGTATCGGTGCCTCTCAGATCCTATTTTACCTTCTTTTCTGATATGCTGAATGCTGATCAAGTGTGGGTTTTCATGGAAATGACCATGTTACGGCATTTTCAGGTCTACACCAGAGGCACTCATTGGTTTCTAAGGAACAGAGGTAGGTTTTCTGCTTTGTTTGCTGTGACGGCAACGAATCCTGCCATTAGTCCACTGCCCGTTTGAAGACGACGTAACAAACCAAATTAAATTGTAATAGTGTTTGAGAATCACTTCTAAGTATAAAGGTGGACGCAAGTCAATCCCTCGTTGAAGAGACGTAAAGGTGAACCTAAATACATGCGAATTTCAGGAAAAGTGCAAAATCGCTCTTTATTTATATATAAACCATTATTCATCATGTCGGGTAACACTATTTAGTGACAGGAGTAGGTGGCCGGTGTTACTCAACCGAGTTGCATGACGTCAGAAAGTACTGGATAGATACACGTGTGGAGCAATGCAGTGGTGCAAAACCCGTGTGTAAACGATGGGTAATCGCAACCTCTTTTCCATGAAGAAGATTTGCCTCATCGGTTCAATGGATTGCCGCATTCTTTTGCGAAAGCAAAACCACTGACTTGTGCATCGACTAGACTACATGGATATTATGACAACTAGATACATAGCCATTTCAATCAAAGGAACGACAAAACTGTAAATAATAAATTCAGATCGGTCCCCCTCCTGAAAGTCTAGCCCAAGACTGGGAAATACTATCTTACTATAGCCATATTTGTCCAAGTATATAATCCTTACATCTAGATCAATTATGGCATATAATAGAATCCAATTAGTTTTGAAATCGAAATGGAGTCCCCAAATCTTTCCCCCCTTCTCATTGTTGCTGAAAAACTATAGCAACAAAAATAAACTCATTTTATGCTAGAGTCGACTGCTACGCTTCATAGCAAAAAATAACAAGTACCAATTCTTGGAGAAATGCGCAAGCCATGACTTCGTGGATAGATGTCTAGAGAATCCCACCGTAAGAAATCACATTTATTATATCACAGAATAATTTCTACTTCATATAAAAATTTGAGTTTCACCAGGTGCAACCTACAACCAGGTTCCAATTGTCTCATCTCGATAGGCACTTAAGCGTTACTGAGCGTTATATTCAGCGTCAGAAACCAGGTTAGTAGACCGTCCCACGTATGCAGAAGTACCGAGTACCAAGCGAGAGCTTAGAAAACACATCGTCCTGAGTTCTCACATAACGAGAAGCCATCCTAGTGAATGAGCACGTCGTTAAGAAAAAACTTTCAGTTCATAAATGGTTGTAATGCTCACATTCAGATAAAGGCGAACAAGTGATTACAGTCATTGGAAGCTTTAATATTTACATACACTATGCACTAAAGACAATGTAAAATGTGTAATAGGAAAACATTACAGCAACCAAATGACATTAGAAACATATTCGTAACATCAAATCAAGCAATACTTCCCATAAAACATAAAGGAACATACAACATGCAAACCAATTATTGAATACAACAATCTTTCTTTGACTTCTGGGGCGGATAAAAAGCTGTTTGATTTTGTCCTGCCGGTATCTGTTGGAAACCGGAAGCTCCGCTAGGTTCGCCGTGATTCCCACCAAAAAATCCATCACCATAGCTTTGTTGAGGTTGATTGGTTGGCATACCGAAACTCGGGTTCGTCTGTGCCGGATTATAGGAGGGATATGGAGGTGTTGCAACTCCTAATTGAGAATAAGGGAGAGGTGATGGTGATAGATAGCCTGGCGGTTGAGTTATGGTCTGGGAATATGAGGGTGGATGGCCAGCTTTGTCCATACCAGACACCCTCATAATGCGCAAGTGAGTGCCAACGGGTGGCATTCCTGGAAGCGGTTGGTCGAAATCACCCCAAAGATATATGTTTCCTGAAAAACACATCATGGCTAACATCTAAAAGTGCATTCGCCTTTCCTAAGATGCACAAAAGAAGAAAAACTCTCTACTCTGTTTTCGAGCTAAATTGAATTTTATTTCACAAGATGTAACACCTGTCCCAAAATATTTATGCAACTTGGGTTCAAGTTTTCGGAATTTTTTTCTGAGGACAAAGGGTTGTAGGCAGCTTTTCTCCATAAGCTAACTCGAATTTGAATATCTCCGCAATGTGTTCTTTTAAGTGTATAGTATGAGAAGAAAATAGAGCACAACCGTCCTTTTATTATTTGATTAGTGCCGTTCTTTCACATTTCTGTTTTCGAAAAGGTGTAGTGGAACTTTAAAAAATTAAGAACAGTTCTCCTCGGATTGCTCTCAAATGATATACTAAACGCTCAGAACAATCAATAAACAGTACAGAACTCTTTTCTACCTCGCCTTCTCTGTGAAAAGGCAATGGAAACGCAACTTTCGATGTAGCGATACCTTAAACACGATTGGAAGCCGAGATTACCACCAATGGACTATCAGTCACTAAGCTTCGTATATGAAAGGACACTACCCATTAAAGTTATTTAATTTGTGTAGTAATAAGCTTCACTCAATTCGACTCATCATTACGAAGACCCATATCGCAAGAAATAACTGTCGTGAAGCCTTGACCCAAATCATTGCCGCTGTGAAGAAGACGAAGATGCCAAAACGTTAACCACAACAATGATGTTTTATCCTCCCGGACGAGTCCAATAGCAATCTTCCTACACGGGAAGGATGGGGAATTGCTTAACTAGGAGTGCGGGATCCACCCAACAATCAAATGTGCGTTCTGTTGTAAGGCGTCGCCCTATGTACGCCCTCCATTTACGATGTGTCTAAAATATAAGTTTCGGATATATTGTGAAGTTAAGTAAATACTTGACCAAGTAAGTTGCAGATGATTACAGCTTCAATATATTAAGCAAATTAATAGCATCTTTGAAACTCTGAAGAAGACAAAATTCATTAAAACATCTTCCTGGTTTAAAAAATATTCGATGGCAGCCATGTGTTAATTCGTCAAAAACCCAAGATCGAAACTGTTAACGCACAAATAAAGAAAAGATAGTCCTGAGAACTACAAAGAACTTTCTAGAGCATGTCATTACTGTACTGTATCGAATCAACGTTACTTGTGGATGACGCAAAGGAATATCAATTCATATAATAAAATCCAAGTTACTAAAACTATTAGAAACCAAACTAGCCTGAATTACATGCAGTGAGTCTTGGCTCAATAAGTGGTGCTGGCATCTGCGCTGGGATCTGCAACCATTGAAAAGTTCTCGTATCCAGCATCCAATAGTCAACAAGGCGTTGGACGTTGTAATTTCCATGATCAATCTCACCACCAGCCAAGAGAATAGCATCTTTAAAAGAGGTATCGCCAATATGCTGTTTTCATTCCTACACAGTTCTCTCCAACTAGTAACGTAATTCGCGTCTAGTGGTGAATAATTTACCAGGTTTCTATTTGCAGAATACTATATTACTTCAGAAAACAACAGTGGAAATAAAACGTGAATTTTTGGGAGTGATTAAAAAGACCCACTTGCAACTCCATCAATACCAGCATTCTTTCTGGGAGCCGGCATACCTCTCTGCGGATCAGGTGTGCAGTTTTGAGTTGTAATCTTGAACTAGTTAACATGAAGATAAGAAGAAAAACATTGAAAACGTTATAAATGAGATACCTGCCCAGCATTATTCAAATTTAGCACGTGAACTCGTGTGTGGTCAAGGTGACCATCAGGTGATGACGAAAGTAGATGAACACTACTGTAGTAGAAAATAATTAAATGGACCAATGAACAGAAAAACACGAATTTTTGAACTGCAAATCAGAAAAAATAATTTGAAGTTCTTAAATGTACTATAATAAAGGATTATCTTAGGTAATAGGAGAAAACGGTCTGAAGCGAACCCGTTGCTGAGAAATCCGTCATAAAAATGTGTGAGATCAGCACCAGGCACTGTGAAATTTGCGCTGGGTTCCTGTGGCTGTTCAGCAATAGCGTTGATACGCCATACCTAGAGGGTTATTTATTCACCTACAGTAAAAACGTTGCTGCTTCCTTACACTTAAAAAAAAACTGAGCAAATGCATTAACATTGTGAACCTGTAAACCTGGATTGGCCATTACTACAATTTCCGGTGCGTCCTCACGCATTGAACAAATGTACTCCCCTCCTATCAAGAGTGGAGAGTTCAGTAGAGGACGACAATTCGCCACAGACAATCCATCACCAGAAAGATCAAGGCGGAATACATGCAACTTAAATAAATCATGAAATGGGTTATGCTTTCAACACATAAGCAATACGAAGAACATGAACGAGACCTAAACGATAAATGCCCCTCAAACATAAGACTTGGAAAACATCTATTATAGAGCTTACACGAATCTGTCCGTAGATTTGTTCCTCTGTCACCAGCACGAATGCAGAACCACCTTGAGGTGATGGACATTTTAGTGAGAAAAGAAATTTCATTGCGCCTATAAGGAAAAGTAACTAAACCAGATACAACTTTTCAATTGGCCTCATACCTTGTGCATGCAATGGTATCTCGCCGACGAAACATCTGATGTTTACGTCAAAAATTACCAGTCCTGGATATCCCTTGCGTGTTCCACTGGAACGATTCATTATTCCTTGATTTATAATTAGATTTATAGTGTGAAAAGGATAAAGCTCACGGTGTAGATCAATCTCTGAGGGATACGCCATGTTTTCAACTTCACTAAGCATAATTGGAGGTGATTGAATGCATATCTGACCTTTATAATAACTCGCAGTGGCCTACCGATGTATCAAGCCAGTGCTGCTATCCTCCCAGACAAGTCTGGTACCAATTTGCCTCCGCCGGATCGATGGAGGGCTTGGTGAGCCTGGGGGGCAGGGATCGATCCCAGGTGTATTGCAGGGCACTTCCGACCACCGCGCTACACCGCGCGGTAGATTTGTGCTATATAACCATGAAAATTACAACCCGAATTCTCTTTCTAAAGTGAAAGTCAACACGAACTAACACATTCGAGTTTACGACCAAAAATGGATCATTCCATATTACATAACTAAAAAGTTTCGACGCAAAGTGACGTCGCTGTGTCATCGTTTTCGATTGAATAACACTAAATCAAACTAACTGAAATAGGTATTTGGATTAGACGATAAAAGCTAAAACTAAATCACTGACTAAAAACTGTCACACCTCCCATGACAACAACAACAACAAAGGGCCATGTCATTTTAATTTCGTGTTCATCCCATTTTTAATCGTCAAAGAAAGCTCAAAATGGCAACCGTAAAGAAGAAAAACTGAGTAAAATAGTGAAATTACAGAACCCTTACCTTGTACAACATTTTTCATCCGCTATCGGATCATACAAGAAATACAATTTACTCGTGTCGATCGATTCTTGTAAGTCTTGAAATAAAGCCATGCGCCATTTTCCGTACGTGCTATCGAGTGGATGAGGTTGTTGACCCCAGCTGACGGTAATGTCTTCGGTGTTCACTTGCATGGCTATTCTGAAATGATCAATTTACGACGAAAGGACATAATAAACCCCAAGGTTTCCCAAGAGATTAGCTTCGAAACAGTTGCGATAATCGATAGAAAACACAAAGATACGACCTTCAAACTAATAGAGAGAGAAATCAAACAGCAGTCGATGCCACGTCGCAACAACGCCTTACGTGAACCTGTTTTTCTAACCTCATCCATTAAATTCCAGCATTCCAGCACTTTCCGTGTACATACATACAAACATATATACATACATACATAAATATACACATAAATACACACATTACGTACATTACATTACATACATACTTTACATACATACATACATTACATACATACATACATACACCATTACTAACAAATCCTATATAATCCGGATTTTCTACCAAAAAGCAAACAAAAAAGCACTTTTGGTTACAAAACATTTATTAATAATTCCCATCACAACACAATAGGAGCTCAGCTACCCGACCAGAAGTGATTCATAAAGCAATATAGATCAGCATTATTACAATATGCGAATGCTTGAGAAGGAATTCGTGGCCACATTCGTGACAAGGACTTCAAATCCTAGGTTATATATCACTAATATACAATAACAAGCCAAATGGAGATTTAAAGCTGCTTCAGAGTTGAAGTTCATCACACATGAAAAACAATATACCAGCAACAACCAGAGTTGATAGTTCTAACAATGAAAATCAAATAACTCTGTAGAAATTCTTAAGAAGATTAAGTCTCAGCTGAATCTGCAAAAGCAGACACATGTTAGCGAGGCCGAAGCAAAAAAAATGAAAAGAAAATGGATGAAAAAATCGACGACTATCATAACGTGGACAAAGAAATGTAGTAACGAAGATTAGATTCTCAACATTAACTTCCCACTTCTATCCTCAGTTATTCAACCAAAGAAGTTACTATTTCTAATGAGTTGGGCGAAATGAGGCCGTCAACACAACCGCATCGATGCTCGTTTCTCGCCAAATGTCGGTAATTTATCAAACTCAACCAGAATATCAATCCCGAATATGCCAATTTGATAGAAGACTTTACGCTATCGCTATTTGAGGATATGTTCGATGTAGTTATTCACTAAAATGCTATAAAACCGTCTAAAATTCTTGCTACAATCAAGGATCTCCACAAAACCTCAACGACGCACTTGGAGATAACCCGTCCAGTTCGGCGAAATTCTACATGCTCAGTGCAAGATTAGACGAGAACAATTCGTGCCTTTCAGAAAAAAATCCCATCTCGGAAGAAGAAGCAAACATGTTTTCTTGACCACGTAAGAGCACAAAATATACTATTCATATCATTCGGAATATGCAAAATAGCATTTATCTGCCGCTCTCGCGAAACTAAAAACCTGGAAAGGAACATAAGAACTTCCGTTTTACCTCGACACATGCTTTCACAATCTCGGCGGAAAACGCCTGCAACAAGAACCCTCACACACACACGCTACCAATATGTGTAGAGGAACAGAATAGTGGATCTGATTGCATAAAGAGCCAGCCAACTCCAAGGACTACGATTCGATGGAAACTGAATCTGTGTTGAAAAAGAAAGCCACGTCCCAAAACAGCAATTCTAGCAAATTTTAGATCACGTTTATTTTCCTCTTGCCTTCATCAAATTAGCACTGCTATAAAGCCGTGCAGAAAAAAAAGAATAATCCAAAAAAAAACTGTGAACAAACTATCACTGCAGACTTTGCCTCGTCGATTAGTTAATAGCATCAAAGACCGTCTCTGAACAACACACCATTACATTGTTTTGCCTATTCGAAAAGGCAGAGATTGCACGAGTTCAGTTTCAGAGTACTTAACTTTTCTCAAGGGAAGTAGTGATGAATATTGGTGAGACGGAGATACTACAACAGAGATACTACTTTGTACTCATATAAAAGAGCACCTAGATGGAAAGCTTAAACTCTGACGAGAAGGTTTGCCATTCACGAAGAAGTTTACTGCGTGGGAAAACTGCATCGTAGTACGATCGTTCCTTGGTTTTAAAGAAGCGAAACCGGCTGGTACGCCACTCTTTATATAATAAGTTTTACAATAACAACCTTAGCTCAGTTCACTAAGAACACAGTAACTTCTAAATTAGTTGACCTTATTGTCATCGTTAATGGTGGCAAAATTCACTTCGGTTGGTTCCGAGTCTGACAACGGACGAAGTGCAAAAATTGCAGTCTTCACCGACTTTGCACATTCACCAGCTTTAGGAATAAGAAACCTATAATACTACAAAATTGGTAAAACAAAGAAATTCAACAATCCATAAATATCTCACCTATGAACTGCTGTGATTTTTGGAACGCCATAAACTTCATATCCAAATTTAAAAGTCAGCAATTCAGGCACTTTCTTCCTACACGTGACACGTAGTACCGAAGGAAGAGCATGTCGTGCCTCGGTGGTCACGTAGCCAGGCGGAAATACGATGATAAATTGTTGTCCATCGAAGGAAAAAAAAACAAGCAGGAAATGAAATATACAGTACATATCATAAGACTATTATTAATAACACTAACGAATGAATTCCACAATTCCACATGGACTATAAGGACTACAAGGACTATGATGGATGAACGAGAAATCTATGCGAAAAAGCATTCATTAAAGGTATACCTCGTCCAAAACGTCCCTTAGTATATGCATATGAGTACGTGTGATAGCAATATGAGAAGGAATCATATCTTTGTTCTCGTTTAACTCATAACATGGAAATCGCTCAATAAATTCAGCTTGCTCAGATAGCAGTAGCTAAAACAATTTCAGATCGTTCAAAATTAAAACATCTCCAAAATTTTGAAGAAAGCAAACAAATAGGAAATCTGAAAGACCTTCACCTTTGCTCCCGATTTGTTGCACATAGAACCTCCATCATCGTCACTGGAGCCATCATCGATTGAGAAGACGGATCGCTCATTGCGATATCTATTCTAATCAATGTTTCACAAAAAAAAAACCATGTATTTCAAGTACTCCAAACTATTTGCAGCTTGAAAGTTTTAACCAGTCCTCTTCTAAACAGATGAATCTCAAAGCTGGTTTTTCCAGAAAGGACGACAATTTTCCAACTGTCAAAGTATTTGAGGTACTGAATACATCACAAATTTATGGTAAAGGATTTGACCAGTAAGCATACACACGAATTTCATAAAGTCATCCTTCAACTTCAACTACGTTTAGAGTTGAAAGTCGTAAAATATCGAGAACGAAAACTGAACTTCTAGAAACCATAACACAAGCACAGGAGCCACAAACACCAGCCATACACTGGGGAAAACCATCGTATCAGGTTCTATGAAATCACATTACTCAGTCACCTCGGTGTTCAAAAATTTGAGCCTTTACTATGTAAAGCGTTAACAACCCTGCATGCATGCACCAAACGAAAACTCAGTCTTGGTGGAATAGGAAAACTTGTGCCTAGCTGGCAAAAATGTGCACACTGTAAAGATTTTTATCTCAAACAATAAAGTTAAATATGAGCCAACTTGGCCTAAAACTGAAAGTGCCTATTATCCCGGCAACATCTGCATTGTACTCAATTCATATCAGTGACATGTTGGTAAATCTGATATAAGATTACCTTTTACCATAGCGATCGGAAGACACTATATGCTTAACTTCTGCGGTATGTGTATTGCCAGTTGTCTGTGTTACAAGCCCGCTCACTTTTCCTTTAACAGCTGCTGACTTAGAAATCACCACTTCCTTCATTTTTCCAACGAACTTCTGGAAATCAGTTTGTTTAAGAGAAATAGAAACATGAAGACTAGAGAATCAACAGACTTATTCACCCAACTACTAGCAGCACTAGTAATTCTACATTCTCGACATTTTAACTCATCGTGGGAATTGATAAGACGAAGACGATTTGACTCCACCAAGATATTATGGAGGCCTGCAATTACCAGCAACGGATATCACAGTAGAACAACCTACTACTAAAATCAGTTTTGTCCTTTTACTCACCACGATATCCGCCTTCGGCAAAGGTTACATGTCTCTTTCCATTTCGAAGAAACCGAGCAATCAACATGTTCATGAACTGATCCTGCAAATGGCAACTATCAATATATAACGAGATAAGTTTGCTTTTCTACAATAAACGATGACTCTTCTTAACCAGAGTAGTTGAACTCAGAACCATGTTAAATTCATAGAACAGACTTTGATCTATAGCCTTAATGGCATATAAAATTTTCGTCCAGCATTTTTTTAGTTTTAAATACGTTTAAAACCAAAGTCTCTAAAAAACTGGAAAAGTTTAACATTCTTTCAACATTCTAAATGCAAAACCGGGAGCTGTAAACATGATCGATACACTGCAGGACACTGTTGTGTCATGCTGGACAAAACTCAGTTCATTCAATTGCTTTCGCGCCCGAAATAACAGCCTTGACAAAATAAAGCTGAAGAAATGAATGTTATATAAGGACAACTCGGCGTTGATCAATCCCTGAAGCATGCGGCATGCATTCGACTTCACTAAGCATCATTAGAGGTGAACTGAATCCATATTTGGCCCTTAAAATGACTCGCGGTGGCCTACCGATGTATTGAGCCAGTACTGCTAACCTCGCAAACAAATCTGGTACCAATTTATCGACCTCGGAAGGATGGAAAGCTTGGTGAGTCTGGGGCGCCGGGATCGATCCCATGTATATTGCAAGGCACCTTAACCACTACGCGAAATGCACTGTGCTGACAGAGTAGGAAAGCCAATATAGTGCGGAAAAATATCTACAAATTACAATGGATTTTATTCTAACTAGTACCGTTAAGTATGAGCTGAGACGTGTTGCAAAATCTAGAGCTAAAAGCTGTTGTTGCTACTTTCAACCAACTTCTAATCAATATATTTCAGGCGTTACATGATGAATTAAACAGTACGAAGAGTTTTCACAGCCTATTAAAATAATTAAAAACATTAAGTGAAACTGTCATCTCACTAAATCGTCCTCTCCATATCCGAAGAAGCAAATATGCTCCTCAAATTTCTGATCATGCTTGTAGGACTCAAGACAAGCTAGTGCCATCTCGAATTGAACGGGTTCATCCACTAACTATAAAATACTTCTCAAAAAAATGAATAAAAAGCTAACTTTGCAGACAAACACTTTCCATCAATAGACCGTTTGGCCACTAAAATCGCACGGAATAAATTTAATTAAACACAGCGAATAAAAATGTCCATATGATACCGGAGCTAACCAATTTGCAGTCCAAGTTAAACGATCCGTAAATGTGTCCACTCTTATATGCTTCATTTGAGCGACTGTCAATGATGAAATATGCGATATTTGAAGCCTGAAAAAGCTGAAGACATGTTAATTGTTAACATACATCACAGAAAGAAAACACTTCACTGCATCAGTGTCGACGAGGAAAATCCAAGTTGCACAGAATATTAACCTGCACCATAACTGGAATCCTCCTAGTTCTTTACCGCCTCATCGTGGCTAGGAGGTGTTCCTGGATGTCAGGCTGCGATGTACACCGGGTGGATTCAACCCATTGGCAGAGTCTCCCAAGCTGAGGAGCCCGGAGTTTCTATCAGGAAGCCCGGCCAAGAGTAATCCACTACTAGGATCCGTCACCGTCCTGGCACCAAACTAGTCGTACGGTGGCAAATCTTCCTCTGATCCACAAGGGGAGCGACTACCTGTGGCGGTGACGACCTGGAGCAAACTTTCGCCTGGCTGACTTCGGGACTTCGCAGAACCACAGTGGTTAAATCAGCAAAACTCCGAAAAAATGGAAATTGTGCTGGAGCCCGCACAACCGGTGAAAACGGGCCATCCAATTAACCATGTATAATTTGAATCTATCCAAACAACTGAAGACATAAAAAAAATCTAAAACGAACCCCAACTGCACCATGTTCCTTTCGAATAAGTTCCTGCACTGTTACTGGTAAACATAGTAGCTTGCTCACTTGCATTTCACCAACATCATCATCATAGTTCGCACCAAAAATTAGGTAATGCAAATTCTACAACAAAGAAAATAATGTGAAATTAAGTGATAATGAAAATTAACGCAATCAAACCTCGCGAACACATTGAGGAGTACGATCCGCATAGTATGCTGAAAGTTGTACGAAGTCCGGTACGTCGTCAACAGTAAGCTGACTTGGTAGTGAAATTAAAATTTCCCGAACCATATCTCTTAAATAAAGTATTCAAAAATGAATGAAAGAAAAAAACTGAGTGAACAACGCATTGGTGACGAAAATAGTCGTACCGTTTACTAGAATCAATTTCCAATAACTGATCTCTTGCATTAACAATCAAAACTAAAGCCATGTAAAAAATGAGGAATGGATCACCCTAAAAACGACTATATCTGATAAAGTATTGATATAGTACTTTTCTGTCCATAATAATTAGTACTGCTTCGGATCCAGACTAACCTTTTCAATATACGATTCCCATAATGTTCTACAGACGCTGTCATCCACATTAGCTGCTAGTATGGTGGAAAACCACTGATTAGCATACGAGTACGGAGTGCATTTGAGAGAATCGAGATGACAGCTGTAACATATACGCGAATCCATGAAACGTTTACCATCTCACCATCATTAACTTTACAATCAATGCCTTACTTTATCTGAGGATCGTGATATTGCAATAAGAGCCGGAACAGATCATAAATTTGAGCATTTTCCTTTGTCTCTCTGCATATGGAAAACAAAGAACTTGTGATACGTGTCAAATGAGACGCAAAATAGTCGCTACACAATGAAACTTTCACGAACTTTGGAATATATTTCGTCGTAAATGCGAAAAAAACATTGAATAAGTGCTCACTGGGTAAGTCCAACTTAAGGATCTTCTCCAGCACCTTAAACAGTTCGTTGTAGACAGTTAATAATAGCTCCACTAGTTTTTAACTCACCACAAGCCATCCTATGTCCTTCTTATAATCCACATTGCGTTTCTTACAATACAACGTCATAAATGATTCGAGCTCCGGTACGGATTTTTTATTTTCCAATAGTATTGCTAGTTTACGACAATCTACAAGTATTTTCGTCAGTTTTATTTTTCTGATAGGTCTATGTTGCTACAAGAAAAAAGAAGAACGACGCGCTTCCAAGTAATCCCAGCCTAGAGCTCAGTTTCTTCCCAACGGTTTACCGCCTCATCGTGACTGGGAGGTGTTCCTGGGTGTCCGGGCCCGATATACAAAGGAAGGCCCCCGAAAGGGTCTCCCAAACTAAGACGTAGTCCGGCGTTTACATCAGGAAGCCAGCCTAAGAGTAAATCAATACCAAAACCCACCGGCGTCCTGGTATCAATCAAGTGGCATAGTGGCAAACCTCCCTTTGATCCATAAGGGCGGTGACTGCTTGTGGTGGTGACGATTTGGAGTAGACTTTGGCTACGCTGATCTCGGGACTACAGGAAACCCCAATAGATAAACCAGAAAAACTCCGAAAAAATAGAAATTATGCTGGAGCCCGCACGGCCACTGAGGACGGACTAATTAAGTATCCAAGTGCTCAACTTCACAGTCCGGTCATTCTTGATAAAAAGACGAACATCATATAAAATTTGCACTTAGTGGTACTACAATCAGAGTTGCAACGTTGGCCTCTCTTATTCGCAATAATCTACAATTACGAGAGTAAAGAGCAAGTTTTTAAAAAATATGAAGGAATTATAAGAGGTTTATCAATCCATAAGCGTCAGTTTTATGACCTGAACGGGAATAAGTAAAAGTGATAGTGAGCAAAATCAAGAGCTCAGTCACACTCGCGTTCAAAGTATATAACTTCTCATGCCATTCTATAAGTGGGAAAAAAACGGCCTAACGAAAATTTGAGAAGAACGTGATCAATCAAGGTATCGCTGACTTGTTTGCTAAAAAAAAACCAAACAAAAAGACTCACCATTTCTAAGCCCAACTTGATTGTTTAAGTTGTATAGCTGATCCCAGTCTTCTAAAGGATTCGGCCTATTAAGAACTCCCAGAAGACGCTAAAACAGGAAGGATCAAAATATAAACCTAAAGTAATGAAGCAAGAAAAAACCTACCACCCATAGCATCTTCTTATTTTCCGCCTCACTAGCAAACGAAAGCAAGCTCGAACTCGGCAAAACTTCCTTATTGCTCTCCAATGGTAATGATGAAATCGAGATATCACTTTCTTTCACCCTGTGAAAACAATGTTTTTCTCGGTAAAACGATATGGAAGACTAAACTTGAGTAATTCAGAATTTAATCACAAAAAAGCAGCTCAATAATGGGAAAAGAACGTAAAAAAAATAGATGAATATGAAATGGACTCACCAGTCATCGCTGATAGTGCTATTGCTTTCACTGTTAACCTCATCAACCATGCTAAGTGTCTAAATTAAGTAAGGTTGCAAAGTTAACTGCGCATCTACTTCTCAGAAATAACAGAAAACCGAAAAAAAAACGAACATTAACTACTAACAAAATACTCCAATTACCCCCCATCAATGTGCTAATGACCTTACTCATAGTATCATAAAGTTATAGGCTCAACAAAAAGAGAACAAGCAAATCATGAGTGATTTCAGCCATAAAAAACAAAAAGTTGACTTGACCGAATTGGAAACATAACACTCCAGCCTATTCCTTATACTTACGACCAAGTGGTGGTCAATCGCGTTGGAATAAAAAAAGAAAGCACAATGAAAAACCTATGTCCTAGCTAAACCTGACGAAAAATCAGATAAACGAACTTTTGTTGCTTTAATCTTTAAACATAAAAACAACTAGGTAATTTCTAGAGAATAACATACTCGTTGTAAACATTAATGGAATACAAGGAAAAAGTAAGTAATACAAGATCAATGGGATCTTTAAAGTGGAAACTCCCCTGGAGCGGTGAAAACTTCAACGAATCGTGAATAAGACGAAATGAACATGACGTAGACGACGACAAGTAGGTCATAACGTCATCGAAACTACGAACTTAAGGAAATTGAGCGGCTTAAGAGCTAAAACTAAGAACTAAATACACAACGTCAACTATTACTTTACTGAAGATTAGCTCTAATACAAGTGTTTACTACGCACCAGTACTACTACTACTGCAATAAAAAACGGATGCAATGCAAGTATAATAACATGGCGTTATGTATTTGCGGACAGTACACAGGACGATTGGGCACATTGAGAACGATGCACAGGTACGGCATATTGTTGCTGTGCAGGGCTAAAAGTGAACACAACGGTGAGTTTCAGAACCATTAGTTTTGCATGTTGAGATGTATATAGGTCTGAATGCTTCATCATTAAAGGATGAAAATAAAGGGTAAAGCTCTTGGAGTTGATCGATTATTGAGGGATGCGCCATGCATTCGACATCATTAAGCATCGTCTGGAGGTGATTGATTGTATATCTAACCTTTACAATGACTCGCGGTGACCTACCTATGTATCGACCCAGTGCCGCTATTCTCCTAGACAAGTCTGCTACCAATTTGCCCATCCCAGAGGGATGGAAGGCTTGGTGGGCCATGGGCGCGGGAATCCATTCCACGTGTGTTGCAGGGTACCTCAGACCATCATTGCGCCACACGCGCCTGTTCGTAATTACAACCACAAATGGCCAAAACTGATCAGAACCTATTCGGATACTTAGATGGCTCGTATTTACTGGTTATCCGGAACTCAGCATAATTCTCACTTTTTCGAGTTTTGCTGTTCTAGCCATTGTGTTTCTCTGGAGTTTTTTAGGTTAGCCTGGCCAAAAGGTTTGCTCGAGGTCGTCGTCACCGCAGGCAGTCGCCGCTCTCGTGTATCAGAGGAAGATTTACCACTATGCGACTAGCTTGATACCAGGACGGTGGTCGATCCTGGTATTGGTTTACTCTTAGCTGCGTTTCGCGATGGTAATGCTGGACTCCTCAGCTTAAGATACCCTGGCGAGTTGACAAATCCCCTTGCTACACGCCGCAGCCCTACACCCAGGAACACCTACTAGCCACGATAAGGCGGTAAACAGTTTCAAAGTATGAAGCAGAAAAAAGATAAAGAAACTGAAGATAAGAACTAGTGTGCTTTAATACCAAAGTCCGACGCCTTAATGAGTTCCATGTCTTTTGTTCACAAAATCATCTCAATTCATGTGACTTGATATGGAATCCCCAAGCACTATCATAATCAACGGCTACATTCGGTGGTTCCTCTGACACACGAGAGAGGCGACTGCCTGCGGTGATGACGACCTGGGGCAAACTTTGGCTAGGCTGACCTAAGAAAAAAAAGTGAAAAAGGATAATAAGTGAAAGGAAGTCTTTTCCTTCAAAACGCGTTATACTTGTGGTTTTCTTATTTTTGAAAATGTGAACAACAAGCCACTAATCCACTCAAACCACATGGAACTTTAAAAGCTCAACTCATACCCCTGTGCTCCTCAATTATACACAATGTTACTGGGAGGTGTCTCTAAACTTATTGCGAAAATTCATTATTGGTACGAGTCAATGGCACTTTCGTACTGAAATTCGACTGAAATATTTGAAAAATGGACTGGATGAACCAAAGAAAGCATCACCAGACGTTTACCCATTTCGAAGACAATAATGTGGGACTATAGGAAAAATTACGTTAGTTGAATGCCGAGCCCTCAATGGAAAAACTGTACCTGGCACAAATATCTATGTTACAATCATATTTCAAATTCTAATTACAAATAAACAAGGTGAGTGAAAAGGCAACTACCTACAACACAAATCAACACCGGATCACTCACAGCACAATGAATGAGACCTGTTCATTTGAATGGAAAAAGGCAGTAAAGCTAGAACTCATGAAAGTTACTGGGTTTGTCCTGAAGATGTACGCCACAAAATACTCGTTTCTTACAAAAGAAAATCTAATCGAATGTCTCCCAGTTACTCTTTGGGTCAACTTTAGTTGCCGTTTCGTTCTCTGTAGGACTTGTTGGCGTCTTGAATGGATCAAAAAATGGATTGATAGAAGAGGTGTAAAAGGTTGATTGGCTGAAATGAAAGCCCATAACTACGAAATGTATCGGGATAGAGAAGAAATGAGAAGAAAAACAGGATAACACTGACCCAACGGGAAGCGGTGCCTCTTGCGCAGTTTGAGGTTCTACGGTTCCCACTGAAGACGATGTAGTCGGATGTGGAGTCACGAACTGATTGCCCATTGTTGTTATCTAAAATTAAATAAATGCAGACTACTAGTTCGCCCAACATGAATGTGTAGATTTAAATTCGCCAATGCCACTCGCTGAATAAGGATTGCCAACCGGTGTGTCGAAATCGATCAGATTTGCCACTGGGACATTCGCCGATAGATCAGGACAAGGAGATGAATTTCGAGATGAATCACTATCTGCCTAAAATACCTTCCGCTGTTTGAAATAACTAGGATTACTCGGTGGATAAAACAACTTTTCGAACGCACGGAATGAGCGCTGATCTCATAGTCACTCAAACCTTATCTCTCCATCTTCCATCGATCAACTATACCTCACCCTTGGCTCTTGCCACTGAATGTTGTCGAAGGACATCGGCTCAAATCCTCCACTTTTGGATGATTTCTTAAGAGTCCAATTCTTTGGCATTCGAATTTCCTTCGGTGTTAACTTGTTAAGTTTAGCACTAATCTGAAAAACGGCATATTATCACCGCCGAAAAAGAAGCAGAATTGTTAAAGAGTAAAAGTAAGGCAGTAAAACCCCGATTAGAAAATAGGTCTGAACGTCAGTTATGATAATCTTACACCACAGATCGGTCACAAAAAAAAACCACTCATGAACAAACCTGTATTCCCGTCACTTTATCTTTCAATGTTCCAATCACATCACTGGCATTTTCTTTGACCTTAAATTAAGTAGTCCTTTCTATGTGTTCATCATGAAAAGAAATTCTAAAGAAAAACGCAGAGGAATATGAGACAGACAACACGACACAACTTCAAATGTTGCGCTAATACTAGAGTAATGCTGCAATTTCGACATACTTACACTTTGTACTGCTTGGTGTATCACTTCTGGACTAACTGCCTAAAAATTGAGAACCATAGGGAAAGTAACAAGAAAACTCTCATAGGGAAGAAATTATAATGCTGGTAAGAGGAGAGGCAAAAAAGAACCATTCATAATTTAGTGATGGTTAAAAATGAATTGATATTCAACGGAACCTGCAATTTCAACTTGTCCATGTTCGCGATTTCCACCTCGAATTCGTCCGAAATAGGTAATCCGCTGTTCAAAAAACGCGTACGCTCTTCGATGAACTGGAAAAAGCTATCCATAAAACCTTTAGTATTGCGGAAGACATAAAATCCTTACTCTTTCAAGATATTGCACTCCATCTGCTCCGATTAACGAGGATAAAAACGGCTGCAATGTTGGCCGTTGCTCACGAACGAACTTTTGCTTGTCCCAATGAACGACCTAAAGTTGATGAGTTGTTGTTACAAACACCTCAAACATAAACTTCTTCCGAAAACAAATACATGGTTATTCTTAGCAAAGGATTCACACCGATGTATGGAATATCTGACTAACACCAGTCGACTCTCGCCTGACGAAACCCATTCGATAGCCACCAAACAGTAGAACATTGGCTCGTAGAAAGCTTCTTGATATCGAATCATCCATATCCGTAGAATTCTTCAATTGGTTTTTCAGATACATCACCACCTGTTAAAATAGAAGAACACTACAAAGTCGCTATAAAACGACAAGGCAAAAATATGACCAGGACTGATCACCTCATTTGGCATATCAGCAACATCGTTATGTGCACTCTGAAGTGTCTTATCCTCAAGGTCTACGATAACCACTTCACCAAGGTCTTTCAATACCTAGACCATGTCTAACTGATTAAAGGAATATTCTGCAACAATAGGAATAAAACACCATACCATAACTCACGTTTAATTCCATCACTTGTTTCGGAACACCAATTAGAAACGGCATAGGAGCCATTACCATCTCTCGTAAAGACTCAGGTAAAACTGGTATAAAAACTGATTGCCTAAAAAAATACTGATTCTCCAATGCAGGTCGATCACAAGTAAGAGCATTTTTCATACTTCGTCGGCAAAAATTTCAGAAAGATATGTGCACAGTTAGGATATTGGTTATGAAGCTGAATCCCAACAAGGCCTGGTGTTTTCCCAACAGTTAATGCAAGAAATAACGGATAGGACTTTGAAGTGCGTGTCACGATCCTCGCACAAAAATCGGGAACACAAGCGCGCAAAACTCTCGAGGCGTTCTGGATTAATTCCAGAAATCCAAAAATGAACCGCAGGGAAGAATCCCTCATAATCACGCGTGATATTGGGCAGTATATGAGACCGTTATTCTGATGGGAGAGGCACATTACGCTTCCATGTGAAATCTGTGCAGTTGGTCTTCACGAAACATACTCAGTGGAAGCCTCATAGAAAGCGGTGAGTGTGCTGTGTTTAATGTGATTGGAATCTTGTTTTAGCGTTTTCTTTGTTTGGTTATGGAGGTGTCTGGCCGAATAGATTGCTGTCAACTTGACATTTCCAGGTTCTGAGGAAGGCGAAATCCGCCGAAACGTCAGCTCATTCGTGAATAGAGAATAAAAGTAACACCTCGCGTATGCTCAACAAGAATACGAAGAATTACTTAATGCAAGAAATATTTATATATATACACGCATATACGAACATATACATATATATCTATATATATATATATGTATATATATACATGCATATATACATATGTTACTTACAGTCCTGTTAACAGTCGAGTGACCCGTACGAGCGCCTGTAAATCTTCCACTTTTCCCTGTCGTATGCAAGAGTAGCCCAGTGGGTTCTGCTCGCCCCAGAGACTCGCTCAGCATTATCCCCTTCTGCCTGAAGAACTCTGACCAACGGGTTGGTGGTCTTTCTACAGTACGTTTGACATTCCCACGAATCCAGTCACTAACAGCTCATGTCCATCGCTAGTCATTCACATGCATTACATGTCCGATCCACCTTAACTTCGACTATTTGGCGTACAGAACGGCATCACTGATTTTTGAACGTTGACGCAAGTCGGAGCTTCAGATCTCAACACTTACTTGTGTGGAATGGGATATTCCTAGCACCATCCTTTCGACTGCGCGTTCGATAACGCTAATGATCTTTCATCCTGCTTACGCAGCGACCAGGTTTCTGACGAATACGTTAGGGCAGGAAGTACCGTTGAGTCAAAAAGGTGGGCACGGAGTCGGGTGTTCTTTGTCCTCTTCATTACATCCTCGATGCTCTTGAAAGCTCACCAAGGCACTCGTTCCCTTCTGCTCAACTCTGGATCTCAGTCGTTCATTATGTTGATTTCCCGACCTAGATAGACATAAATGGAGCATTCGGGGACATTCGTTCCGCTGAGCGTGAATGGGGTGGGGGCATACGTAGCCAATCCGTTCCTGATGAACATCGTTTTAGTGAGATTTAGTTGAAGACCAATTTTTCCACAGACTATATCAAAGCCGGCAAGCATAGGTTCCGCTTGGCTAACATTTGGTGTTGTAAGGACGATGCCATCAACAAAGCGAAGATGGTGTAATTGAGGAGCATCGATTTTCACTCCCATATTGTCAAATTGTAAAGTTTGCACGACGTTTTGGAGAGTGGCGGTAAAAAATTTTGGCGCGATGGTATTGACTTGCCTAACACCTCTCTTGACGTCAATGTTAATATCGTTGCAGAATGGTGATATCTTGGCAGTGAAATTTTTGTACAGCTTAAGAAGGATCCACGTATACTGAGTAGGGGCTCCCTGATGACCCTGACTGTCAAGGGTTTCAATGACTTCGTCTATCCCAAATGAGTCAAAAGCCTTCTTTGCATGAAAGAAAATGAGATAGAGCGGTCTTTTGTACTCTTGTGATACTCCGATGAATCCTATTATCGTGTGCACGTGGTCCACTGGACTGAATCCTTTTTGAAACCCCGTCTGCTCAGACGGCTCCCTTCATCCAGTGTTTTTTCAATCCTCAATAGAACTTGAGTGGAAAGTTTGTAGACAACAAACAGGAAAACAGACTGGGCGATAATTGCCGACATCGGGTAGGTCACCCTTCTTGAACAATAACACGGTCTTGCTGGACTTCCACTGAGTAGGTACCTTGCGTTCAGACAGGTAACATGTGAATAGCCGAGCCAGTGTGTTTACAAGGACTGGCGGAAGCTTCTTCAGGCGTTCTGGTCTTATACTGTCCGGACCTGGTGCTGTTCGATTTTTCATCGACGAAAGGGCATGTCGGACTTCGGGAGGGGGAACCGGTGGTACAACATATCCATCCTCCTTTATTTCATATGATGGAAGGTGGACATGGCTATCGAAGAGATCCGAGTAGTATTCGTGAACGATTTTCTCCACTGTCTTTCTGGACGCTCTAACTATTCCGTTTAGGCGCCGGAGTGCAATCATGGTTTTTAAATGGCGAAGTCTACGGACTTTGCGAATTCTTTTCGCAGCCTCTTCAGCCTCGACCATAACTGCTGCTCATCGCTCTTCAATATCTTCTTTTATCAGTTGTCTGCACTGTTTTACAAATTTGCAAGTTGGCCGTTGCTTGCAGATCGTGCGATTCCAAACTGTCCTATCAGCTCGAGTGTTTCTAGACACAGACGTCTTTTGGTGACTTTCGAACTCTTAGCTTCCATAGCGCTAACGTGAAGATGTTGAAGAGGCCGATCGTATTCTTGGATGATTTTATCGAGAACGACATCTTCCTAAAAGCCGACTAATGAATTGAATAAGCGCCAGTTTACGTTGGTTCTGGGACTTCGGTTTTGATTCTAGCCGCTTTTTCTCCTTTCCACTAAATCTTGCACGCGGGAGATAGTCTGGTCCTATTTAGAATCATGGTACAAAATCGAAATCGACAAGGCAAAAGCTTCAATTTACTACGATGTGGTCCATTTCGTTATGGTAATTTCCACTGAAAGATTCCCACGTCCAGCGTTGAGGGTGTAGCTTCTGGAATTGCTAGTTACTATGGATGGTCTTGTTCGCCACGACAAACTTAGATAGCCGCTCACTCTGTTCGTTCCATTCTAATCCGTGGGTCCCAATGTGACGTTCTTCAGACGTTCTTCTTGGTCCAATCTAAGGGTTAAGTCTTCCAGTGATGACCTTGAAGAATCTATGTATGGTCTTCTCTGCAGAACTTCCCCAAGTCCATATAGAACGTTTCGACTTCTTCTTCATCATAGTTTGATGTTGGCGCGTAAACAACGAAGCTTGTCAAAGCCGGTATTGAACCCGACCTCTTTTGTCACAAACACCCGACTCGGGTTATAAGTTGCTCGAGTGAACCGTTGTTCACAGACAAACTCGTGTTGATGAGAACGCCGACGCCGCCGACCCCTCTACTGTCGCATGTTCCAAGGAACAGTTCTTCTCTCGTGTCATAGACGGCGTTGAATGGTTGGTGTCGTCTCGTCTCGACCAGGCCGATGATGTCGTACCTTATCCTTCTTGCTTGCATGAGCAAGTCTCCTATCGAGAAATCGGATGCAAGTGTGCATGCATTTTAGATGCAGATCGTCATCTTAGTCAGCTTAGAATGGCACTGACATTTTATCAACCTCTCCGTACTCGTCCTACCGAACGCTGCCTAATCGATTGTTCTATTGGAGTCGGGTGAATGAGCCCGTATCTTTCAGTGTTTAGCTTTTTGATACCCACATATAGCTTATTGAGTTCCCGACGTGGAGGCTGGGTATACTTACGGGTAGTTTGCCAGTTTCTCCCAGTGTGGACATGGAGCTTATTTGTAGGAGGCGACTTCTAATCACCTCCCATAATTCTCCGTCACTTGACTGCAGGCTTTTGGCCGAATTGATTCGTAGAATACAATCCGCATAAGCAGGAACACACCCACACACGCGTGCATAAATACGCCTCGTAAATACAGAAAGTGTGTGCCAGATCGGCGCAGCAGAAACAGGGAGTCCATCCTGTGGATCCACCTGTGTCTTAGGGAAGCAAAGGTCGCTTTTGGTACGTGATTAACCCCCAGTCCGCTACATAGGATGCTCCACGTAGCCTCGCGACTAACCGGCTCGAGATCCCTCATAAAACAGATCCGTAGACACATATATGTATATGCATATATGTGTTTCTTGCACTTGATCAGTTTCCTCGCACCCACCACCCACGAAATGTTGTTAAATGCTGGCTGAATCGATCCTCCCAAGAGTCTTGAGATCGCCGGACTAGAGCTTTTCACTTGGATTGCAGAAAGTGGTTTTTCCCCAGACAAATCTGGTATTTCCCTAAGCCGCAGGGATAAGTAGCTTGGTGGACCCCGTGCGGCTTCGAATCAGCATTGTAGTCCTAATCACCAGCATCATTACCGCTGCGTTGCCTGTCACTTTTACATGTCTACATGTGTGTATGCATGCATCTATGTATATAGACATGTATGTGCCTACGTATACACAAATATGTGCATATGTATATGTGCATTTATACACATATATATGTGCATATGGATAAACCTGCCGGCGTTGGTCATTCCCTGAGGGATGCGCCATGCATTCGACTTCATTAAGCATCGCTGGAGGTGATTGAATCCATATGTGGCCTTTACAATGACTCGCGGTGGTCTACCAAAGTATCGACTAAGTGCTGCTAACCTCCCAGACAAGTAGGGTACCAATATGCAGAAACTGGACGGATGGAAGGCATGGTGACCCTGGGGGACGGGATCGCTCCCATGTGCATCGCAAAGAGCCTCTAACCAATACTCTACACACCCGCACCCATGTAAATATGTTGTAGGCAAACAGGCTTAAGAATAAAATTTAAACAAGTAGAAACCAAATTCAAGTTCTCCGAACTATAAAAAAACGCGGAAGCTGCAACAACCAGTAAAACTTTGAAAAAAACTATGATCTCCTCCTGGACGAAATTGAATTTTGTGTTGGAAATACGAGCACAAAGAAAAGTACTGCATGAATTCCAGTAAAGAAAAGTTTTAGTTCGATGGAAGAAGAAAAACCCCACCTTGTAAGAAAAGACTTGTGCATTCTAATAACTTTTATTTAGATCAGCAAAGTTCACTGTGAGTTGAGATATAGTTATTTAAAAGCCGACCATTGAAAAATTATTTTCATACTACATGTCTTCGTATGAAGTCACCTCGTCGCCAATGTGTTAACATAGTTAAGTCATGGATGGGCAAACCATATTATAATATTGTAAGCTATCAGTTCTCAGACTCACCAAAACATAGGGTACAGAAGTGTTGAAGCGGCATAAATACATGAACTAAGCTGGCTGAGCTTCCGTCCAGTGAAAATGATTCTACGTTCTTTCAGTAAACTGAAAGTGGTAGCATGGAACAGATATACTCAAGTGATTATTCGTAAATTACAGAAAACATACCTTGCATAAATTGCCAACATTTGCCTAGTTGAGACTGCATTGTAAAACTCGAGCATAAATCTGTCTTCGCGAAGAGTTGGCAGCTTAGTGACGTCAGGAATTTTCACCTCTAATTTCTAAAAATTATCGTTCTTACACACAAGAATATCGAGTGCGATCTCGACAGGCCTTTATACCATAATGTATGCGAGTCCTTTCACTCGAAAAAAGAAAGGAAAACTGTAGCCTGTGAAAAGATGCCTCTCAGAAGTTTATAGGTGGACAGCAAGATCTGTCAAGAAGAAAAAAACACATCGATGACGGAAGGTACTCACATGCATTCCATTATGACATTCGAACTTTAAGGTGTCGCCAATGTTAGGAATATCCGTATGGTAAATTCTAGTCAGGATCGCATCCAGATCACCTTGCTTAAAAAGGTGAACTTGGGGAAACTTGGAAACACAATACGGTAAAATAAAGAGAAAGAGGAAAAAAAAACAACATAAAACTCACTGTTCCGCTATTCATAATGAGTGAAATGTGATTTAGAACTTTATAAAATACACCAGGCCAAGAAAAACCACTACAAATGCAAATATAAGATACACTTAAGCAAAATGTAAACAAATATCAATACAAAAACATACCTTAATACACAGATGCACGTGTTATTCCGCGGTGTAAATCGACAAAACCCAAAAGTATACTGAGATCGAGAATCCGTTAAGACAAAAGAGAACAGCTGAACGGCTTCTGAGTCAGTCCTTAAACATGAGAAACATTGAAAATACGATGTGAGGATGAGCTTTTTCTCTCACTCTTTGAGTCCACACGGAAAACTGAATTGCCGAACACTTTTCAGAGCTGCGTCGTCGCTGTAGTCTTCCGGGTACTTGGTTAGTATAAGCGGTAAACCGTCTTCAGCACTCGTTCCCACCTCGCAAAACACATCAAACAGTGTAGCCACATCCGTTCTGCAACGAATCGTGACAGTACACCAGAAACCGAACAGGACCTCTGCTCTATAAATACAGAACTAAAAAAAAACTAGTAGAGAAAACTTACCGATGTCTAGAGGACAAAGTTACATTGACAGACATAATGATCTACAAGCAGTTTACTCAGTTTACTACGGTCCCTCTCAACTGGTAAACGTATGATCGCAGCAATTTCAAAATCCCTATAAAAAGTCGAATAAAGCAGTTTGTTAGAAAATAGAGAACTGTTTAATCAAAAGGTGAAGGAGAAGAACTATATACAACAACAATCAAGATAGAGGACAAGGCTGATTCTCAATAAATTAAAAGCTAAAAAGCTTTCGGCGTTGATCAAACCCTGTGGAATGCGTCATGCATTTGATTTTATAAAGAATCGTTGGTGATTGAAGGCGTATCTGGCCTTTACAATGGCTGGCGGTGCCCTACTGATGTATCCAGCCAGTGCTGTTATCCTCCCAGACAAATTTGGTACCAATTAACCGACTCCCAAGAGATGGAAGGATTGAGAGTCTGGGGCGCGGTGATCAACACCATGTGCATTACAGGGCGCCTCCGATCACTACGCTATATGCGCTCCCAATAAACTAGTTAACAAAAAGACCGAAAGCTTATGGGATTCCCAAGATACTGATAACGATATAGTACTACGATAAGAAGATAAGACACTGATATTTGATGGTAATTTACAGAATCAGCTAACGATGTTTCTGTTGAAGTTTGATCTCGTGATATAGAACAAAATCCTAGCAAATGTGCATATACATATAAATGTATGTAAATACATATATATACGCATAAATATGTGTATATATGTATACATAAGCTTGTGTACACCATATATATGTATATACATATACGCATGTATATACATGCGTATACGCTTATCACGTGACCGATTCAGTCTATAGTGAAAGCCACAATGACTTACATATAACAAGTCTGTTAAATAATTTTCAACAGTTTTCTAGGAATACGTGTACTTTTAATAAATCCTTAAAGAACCTCAGTATGAAAAAGCACAGCTATCCCCTCATGCATGCTTTACAACTCGTTATTGAAGTACACTATAGGGCAGGCTTTGGCTAGGCTGACCTCCGGACTCCACGGAAACACAAGAGCTAAGCCGGCAAAACCCCGAAAAAATGGAGATTACGCTGGAACCCGCACAACCAGTGAAGACGGGCCACCCAAGTATCTAAGCAGGTAGTATTAAGATAAAGTCCAAGACAAGACAAAGACAATTGTGGACTACTCACTAGGATCAACAGTTCTAAAAAACACGAAGACGTCAAAACGTTAGCCGAAAAACCTTATCATTAACCTCGTATAAACTCAACAATTTAAACATATGTTAAAAGAAAGTGGTAAAAGTGTAGTCCAGATTCTCTTATAGCCTATTTCTAATATGACACCAGAATTCGATACAGGTGATACTTGCACTGAAGAAGATTCACTGATGTAGATTACTTAGTAGAATGCTCCAGTGAACGAAGAAGGACAGACAGGAGGGAAAGACATCTACATGGACTAACGAAACGCCAGTTACGAAGGAAAATCATCTAACATCTACGCAGTACAAACATTCAGTAGCACCTAAGATCTACAATAATCAGATTCTTTGGAATACCCACTCATAAAAAGAAAAATAAGTCCTGACGGAGAAAAGAATGTCCTATCTTAAGGATTACAGCGAAATCCAGGTGGACTTTGTTAACCAAAGACAAGACCGCCCAAAACCCAAAACCAAAAACGCAAACCCAAAAACTTAAGCCGCAAAACATAAACTCTATGAATCCACCAAATGTTGTCATTTAGCGAAAAAAGAAAAAAAGAAAACAAAGAGTATTTCAGGAAAAGAAGGAAAGGAGTAGATTACAACAGTTTTGTGCTAGGATTAAATGCGAACATCAGGTAGAATCCGTAAACGCAAAGCCTAAAACTAAGACACCTCATGGTGTTTTCTAAACGGGTTCTAAACCAATGATACTGCATGTCTACCAGTCATAAAAAAGTACACTACAGACATATACTTTAGATATCTTACAAAATAACCTAAAATCCATATTAATCAGACCCAGAAGATTTTGGGACCACGATCAATGTCTTCATTCGGATCTCTGACAGCCAGTGTCGTAAATTAATAGACAATCAGTGAAACTACGGATTCCACACACAAGTAATGGTTGAATACGGATAAGTCTTACTGCTTCAGAATAGTCACCTTGTTTTGTGTTGCTTCTTGAGAGGATGATTCTCTCTTCCATTCATACTTAACTGTTTGATAATTGTCAATGTATGATGCGGTGTATTACTCGCAAAGCACATTTTATGTGCTAATTACTTCATCATTATTCTGTTACTTTAGAGTATGACTAGTTTTCTAACGCCCATCGATGTTCAAGACATCGTGAAGGATTTACGCAGAATTGTTGTGGACCTGAAAGAGAACGACAAGGTTTAGTTTACATTTAGAATCTCTATAATTTCACTTTCCTTCCAACAATTTGCTGCCTCATCGTGGCTGGTAGGTGTTCCTGGGTGTCGGGCTGCAATGTACAGCGGGAGGATTCATCACCTCGTTAGGGTCTCCCAAGATGAGAACGAGTCCGGTGTTTCTATCAGGAAGCTCCACTAAGAATAAAGCAATACTTAGATCCACCATCGTCACGATATCAAACTAGTCGCTTGGTGGCCAATCTTCCTCTGCTCCACAAGGGCGGCGGCTTCCTGTGGTGGTGACGAACTTGGGCAAACTTTGACTAGGCTGACCTCAGGACTCCAGGGAAACACAGTGGCTAAACCAGCAACACTCCGAAGAAATGGTTAAATTAGGCGGGACCTGCAGAACCAGTGAAGACGGGTCATTCTGTATGTAAGTAGGTATAATTCCACTTTTTCTATATAAAGTGTTTCACTCATATTGTGAAGAATATGCATTAAGATTACTCAGTCACTTACTTATGCCCATCGTGTTGCTGATATTATACAACGGAGAGGTGGCGACACGGTTACGGTTGGCATTTTCTTCGTGTTTTCTTTTTTTTCTGCTGTAAAATTCGTTGGTTGTACAGGTTCTTTTTGAACCGCTGTACATGTAACGCATTATTTTAGCGCTACATTCCGGGCCAGGATTTTGAAAAGGAACATAAAAAAAGCAGAAATAGACAAGTTGGTTTTTTAAAACACGTTCTGTGCTACTGTTTATTAAAGATTTTTTTTTCTGGATTTTTAGCTGATTTCTGTTAATTTTCTTTTGCAGCTCCGTGACTTGGACAACGAAAATCGTCAACTACGCCAGCTATATGAGGATTCACAATGGACCCTATTCCTCGTTATGCAGACACATCGAAGAGTTTTAGAGGCGAACTTTAGTAAAGATCAGAGGGAATGTGCCAGTTCCAAGAAGCAAAACAAAATTGATGTACGCTGCTTTATAGATATTACTTACTTGGTTACTTGGATGGTCTTTCTTCACCGGTTGTGGCGGGATGCAGCATAATTTCCACTCTTTTTTTTTGGGGAAGGGGGATCCTGCTGGCTTAGCACCTAATATCTGCCTTACGTAGTCACCTTCACAAGCAGTCATCGCCCTTGTTGAACAGAGGTAGATTTGCTGCCATGAGGCTGGTTTGACTAGGACGGTGGTGGATCTTTGTATTACTTTACTGTAAGCTGGGTTTCCTCATGGAAACGCCGGACTCATTCTCAGCTTGGGGGATGCTGCCAGGGGAATGAATCCTCCCGCTTTACATCACAGCCCGACATCCAGGAACACCTCTCATCCACGATTAGGCGGTAAATCGTTAGGAGGTGTCTATATTGAAACTTGAAAATTCGGGTTCGAAAAATTTCAGGAAGATATGAAACAGAATTTTTACTCTAATACAGCGAAAATGGCGAGAGAAATTTACGAGTTTCTTGAACATGAGAAGAAGATGAATATGGATATCCAGAAGGTATGTTTAATTTTTCTTTCCGTTTCTCTCTCTATCCTATTGTACGTGTTTATTATAGAGAATGGAAGAGCTTAGAACTGAAAATGATTTGCTGAGACGTATTTTGGAATTTGAGTCAGGCGTTGACATTCAAACCATTGCGGACCATTTAAAGAAAAGGTTCGGGTTTCTCCGTACAGTTTCGCTTCAAATTTATACAGTAGGTTCTGTTCTGAGCATGTATATGTTGTAGTGCTGCACTCGAAGTCCCACTAATTTCCACCGAAAGCGATTCTGAGACTTGTTCTGAACATAAGAGCCTTGTTGATCGTGACGAGCAATCAACACCAAGGGAACAAAAAACTGTTGTTAGGAGTCCAATCCTAAACTGAGGACTTTAGAAAGCATCTATGTGGCTCCTTAGATAAGTGCGGTTCTGTTCTATATTTCGAAAGTGTTCGATTGTTTTCTTTTTTTCGGCTTCTTGAGATTTTTCTTCTTATCGCATAAGCACCGAATAACATCCAGGCCAACAAACTGCCGGTGATTTTCACTGTATGGTCCTTTTTCTCACAAATTTCTTCAATTCTAATTTCACTGTATATCTTTCGGATATCTAGTCGTTCTCACAAGCGTGAGAATTCCCATCGTGATACCTTTATGCTTGAGAATTCCTTCATGTGTTTGTAGTAGCATTTTACCAACGATGTGTATTCTCCGTTTAATGCCCACTACCAATTTTTTTTTCGGTGACATTCTCTGTATGTGTTTATTACCACCCTTGATTTTATAGCTATCCCATCAAATAACAATATAAAGGGAATAAATAGTTAATAATTACCCACTTTGCTTACTGCAATTATATTGCTTAATGCGAAGAACAAGATATGTTGCTGTCTTGTTTCTCAATAAGGCATGCTATTTCTTACAAGGAATCTGTAAAAAAGAATAACAGATAAAGCTCTTGGCGTTGATCGATCTCTTGGGGATGTGCCATGCATTCGATTTCATTAAGCATCGTTGGAGGGATTGAATGCATATCTAGCCTCTGCAATAACCCACGCTGGTCCGCCGCTGTATCGAGTCAGTGCTACTATCCTCCCAGACAAGTCTGGTACCAATATATCGATTCTGGAGGGACGAAAGACTTGGTGGGGCAGGTGCGCAGGAATTGATCCCATTTGTATTGCTGGGCCCCTCCAACCACTGCGCCACACGCACGCAAGGAATCTGTGGGATTCTTAAATGACCTGGTCTCATATGTTGTGTTATCACCAGTACTGCTTCGGATCCGTTGTCCCACATGTGAAACACTGAGCGGACGACGTTTTCCGCAGCTTCTCAGGATCGTAGTACTAGAGCGTTTGTGGGTTTTCACTGCAAGTAATCACCGTCTCTTACGAAGCAGGTCTAATGTCTTATGACATGGGTCCTTACAAAATGGCATCGAGCCGTGCGGTTAATTTATGGAAAACGGCATAATAGGCTAGTCCACTTTAGGCTATTGATAGTTAAAAGATACAACGTTCGGTGTTGAACAATCATTGAGGTATGTCCATGCATTCGTCATCATCAAACATCGTTAGAGGTGATCGAATGCGTGTCTGAACTATGCAAAGACTTGTGGTGATTTACCGATATGTTAAATCAATGCTGCTAAACTTCTAGACAACTTCAATGCCAATTGTCAACCCCACAGATATGGAAGGCTTGGTGAACCCAGGGCGAAATGTCGAACCAACGATCACATGTACATTGCAGGGCACCTCTAACCCCGCTCTACTAGGCGCCTTTGATGAACTATTTTTAGTAGATTCCAAATGTTCGCACTGTTAACAACTAATTCTTTAATAATTCGCCTATGAAATCCAGCACTATTTTGTTGTCTAATGGTACTTAAGGAGATATGTGAGTAGCTCTTCTACGTCCTTCTTGCTTCCTAAGTACAAGGTTGATCGCTGATGAATATCTTCAGGAACGACATCAAGAAGTGGACCCTACATATACAATATTATTGCTGTAGAATGGTTTGAAAAATTTCTTATAACTTACTTTACCCGTGCTTGCGTGACCACCTGCCTGCTCAACGATGAAGGCTATCGGAGCGCACTCATAAAGAAGACGCAACTGAAATTTGAAGAACCGTTAGGTACCGCGTCCCGGCTCAAGTTTGACAAGGTGCTCGAAGTGAGGATATTGAATTAATTAAACTCATGTGCTCACTTTTCCTTTCGGTGCAGCTTTTGTAGGTGAGTAGATAAAGATTCCACCGTTAAGAATCGTACGATGAACATCAGCTACCAAAGAGCCAACATAGCGCTGTACCATTGCTTTCCTTCCAACCTAAAGCTGGTTATACCTAGTGAAGATTTAACATTCTTGTCACTTCCACTTTATCCCATTGGAATCAATATTTTCAAATTGAAGGGTAATACTGTCTTGCTTAATAAACTACTTCAGCAAACAAACGAACAACAGCAAACGTCGTCCTAACGAACTTTTCAGAAATGTCCATAGATAATGGGAGTGTATACAGCGCCAAAACTGGTGCGCGAAATTAACAAATCCTGCCCCTACCTCGGGAAACTTCCTCGTATGTACATATTCGGCAAGTCCCTTTGACCAATGCTTAGCATATCCTTCATTTAGACTGTAGATTTTGCCTTTGTCAGGAATGCGCATCCTAGGGTGTGTGAGAACGAACTCACCGATACTCTTTAAATACCATAGAATTTGTAGCATGATATTGTAAGCAAAAATAAAACATTGGTAAGGTATTTACTGGGTCCAACATGAATCCATTTACACCGTTTCCTGTAGTAAGTACAATCATGGTGGCCGAACCATATAGACAGTATCCAGCTGCCACGAGTGCACTAAATGGTTCTTTCTAATTGCAGTTTTATATGTGCAGTGAAAATAGCGCTTACTTGCCCGGCTGTAAGAAATCGGCCTTCGTTACAGGGCCATCTGCCGGCTTTCTCCAAATACCGAAGATTGAACCTATAGAGGGAGTATAAAGCTTCCACTATATTATTCAATTCTCTGGCAAATCTAATTTCAATGTTAAAATCAACTAATCTCATTAAAAGATTAAAAACTTGGAAAACATATAGTACACAGTCCGGAAACTTGTACCTACCGATGGACGCTAAACAGTCGATATTTGATGAACCATCTAGTGGATCGAAGCACACGATATACTTCCCACGTTTTCCCTCTTCTATTACGATTATCTAAAAACTGCCAAAGCTCTGTTTGTAGCTCTCCGTATAATGTAAAGAAAAAAGGTATAAGTTGATGTGCCAACATCTTCATTTTCTTCCGATACCATTCCACAACAGGCGTACGATGAGCGAATCATGTTTATCATCAGCTCATTACTGAGGACGTCGAGCTTCTTCACCTAAAACAAGAGTTGTGCATCCTATTTTGCTCCGGTGCTCAATAGTCGCAACTACGATCTGAAAACCTCTTCGCCTTGAACATTGGTATTGCCAGCGATTCCATAAAGATTTGCCAAGCCAGCTTTTCGTACCGCACTAGAAATTGCCTATAATGCAGCGAAATTATTTGGAAGCAATGTTATAACGTGTTTCATACAAGTAATATTGAGTTGAAATGATTTTAAGAGGAACTTATAATGGTTTTGTGGAAGCTGTAAGGGTAACGAATGACTGCGACATAGAAGCCATATTCCTTTTGTCTCGAAAATTAAAAGGCAGAATCATTTAGGTTCCAAAACTCGGACAGGATTCACCAAGTTTGAGCGATTCACAAAGGTGACACTTCCGATTCGAAAACGAGGAGACTACCCACTTTCTTTTCTGGATTGCCAATGACAAGTGATCAAATGTCGCCTACACTCATGACAACTCATCTCTTGTGTTTAATAAGGTCTACTCATTTTCCTATTTACTATTAAAATGTGCTGCGTGACGAAGCATTGTAATCTATGCAGTGGTTCAGCTCATAAACGTCTCTCTTTTAGAAGAATATTACCATTTTTACGAGATCTGTCGTGCAGTAAGAACTACGAGCTAAACGTAGCAGGACCGCTGCGTAAAGTCGGTCGCACATATTTGTGAATAAAATAATTGATATGGAACAAAAAAGAATGTAAAGGTAGAGCGAAGATAAAATGTGCTTAACGTATCTTAAAAGCAGTGAGGAGTGAGGTGAACAGATTAGTGAGATCACCGGTGGCATTCGGATATTTGCGTTGTTCATATAGCACGAAACGTTGCAACGTCATAAAATCGGTCTCGATTCCATAGCTTTTTGACGAATTGGCCATATTTCACCTGGAATTTCGCTTATCTCTTAGAGTTATTCAAAATGAAAACAACTAAGTAAAGTAACTCATCAAAGAACCCACAGGATCCCAAACAACTTGCTGAAAAGAAACGTAAAAAAAGGCGTAATGGAATGAAACTAGACGATTAGATTAGACGAATAAGATGTAAAATATGACTGCATCAAAATGAAACATAGATGAGTAAAAGAGTTCAAATTTGGAGTAATCTGGATGGTATAACATGAAACTACGAGGAACTAGACAAACAACTGACTGTCAATCCACGTTGGAAACGATAACGACGTGGAATACTTGTGCCTAAGCGTAGTTTGTTCCAAACATACATTGGGAATGTCAGCGGTAATTACGATAGAAAGATCGTAAAAAGTTTATGACTTTCAACATTATATGGGATCAATAGACGGATATCCCTCATTAAAAGGTTTCATGTTGGTCAGTCGTGATGCAACGTGGCGCAGCTCCTGGTGGCAGATAGGGAGGTTAAACAAGGAACAAAAGCGACTCCTTCGCTGAGGAATAGATGAATCCAAAGGATGGACTCCCTGTTTCTGCTGCGCTGACTTGGGACATACTTTCCGTATTTGCTAGGCGTATTCATGTATGCGCGTGTGGATGTGTTCTCTCTTGTGTGGATCGTATTCTACGAGTTAATTCGGCCAAAAGTCTGCAATCAACTGACTGGGAAGTATATGGGAGGCGGTTAAGAGTCGTCTCCAACAAGTAAGCTTCAAGTCTACTCTAAGAGAGACTGGAAAGCTACCAATGAGTATACCAAGCCTCCACGTTCGGAACTCAATAAGCTATACGTGAGTATCAAAAAGCTAAACACAATAGAAGAAACGAGTCTCATTCCCCTGACCCCGAAGGACCCTCTTGTGAAGAATAAATGCAGCTGTGTAAACAGCTGTCATAATTTTTTCTTAATATTCACTACCACAGGATTTCATTCAAACCTACTCGTAAGCGGTTATCAGTGGAACTGCAGAAGCTCCCTGGCAGTGACCGAAGTTAACTGGGAACGATTATATAGTGGTGTCACTAATTTATTGAAATCATTTTTGTGAGAACAGTGAAGGCACAGAACCATCCCCACGCTAACACTCATGGTCAGCCCATAAATGTAAATGTTAATACGCGCGGGCATCTGTGATTGCGAGTCACCATGAATGGCCTTGGTCGTCGTTATAAACTCAAGCAGCCATTCATACTGCTCGTTCCATTTTAATCCATGGGTCCCAATGTGACGTTCCCTTAAATCCAATCTTGGCGTTGAAATCTCCAATGATGACCTTGAAGAATGTATGGTTTTCTCTGCAGAACCTCTTCCAGGTCCATATAGAACGCTTCAACTTCTTCTTCATCGTAGTTTGATGACCGCGCGCAAACGACGAAGTTTGTCAAGGCCGGTACTGAACCACATCTCTTTAGTCGCAAACACCCGATTCGGGTCGCTAGTTCTTCGAATGATCCGATGTTCATGGACAAACTCGTGTTGACGAGAACGCCGACGCCGTCGACTCCTCTACTATTGCATGTTCAAAGGAACAGTTCTTCTCCGGTGTCACAGACGGCGTTGAATAGGTGGCGTCGTCTCGTCTCGGCTAGGCCGATGATGTCGTACCTTATCCTTCTTGCTTGCATGAGCAAGTCTCCTATCGAGAAATCGGATGCAAGTGTGCATGCATTTTAGATGCAGATCGTCATCTTAGTCAGCTTAGAATGGCACTGACATTTTATCAACCTCTCCGTACTCGTCCTACCGAACGCTGCCTAATCGATGGTTCTATTGGAGTTGGGTGAATGAGTTCGTTTCTTTTACTGCGTTTAGCTTTTTGATACCCATATATAGCTTATGGAGTTCCGAACGTGGAGGTTGGGCATACTCACGGGTAGCTTGCCAATCTCTCCCAGTGCGGATATGAAGCTTATTTGTAGGAGGCGACCCCTAACCGCTTCCCATATAATTCTCTATCACTTGACTGGAGGTTTTTGGCCGAATCGACTCGTAGACTACAATCCGCATAAGCAAGAACGCACCCACACACGCGTGCATAAATACGCCTCGTAAATACAGAAAGTATGTGCCAGATCGGCGCAGCAGAAACAGGGAGTCCATCCCCTGGATCCACCTGCGTCTTAGAGAAGCAAAGGTTGCTTTTGGTTCGTTATTAACCTCCTATCCGCCACCTGTGGACGCGCCACGCTGCCTCGCAACACACCGGCTCGAGAGCCCTGATATCAGAGAGCCCCTAGGTGGGCGTCCTTACTCAGTGTATACTCTTCGTAAGCTATGTAAAATTTTACAATCAGAATATCACCAATGCATAACAGTATGAATAACGACGTCAAAGCAGGAGTTAATGAAAGCGACACTATCTCGTCAAAATTAAGAGCTCCTCCCTCCAGCACATAATGCGAACATTGGAATGGGATAATATGGGAGTGAAAATCGACGGTCGGCAATTACACCGTCTTCGATTTGCTGATGACATCGACCTTATAACACGAAACATTAGCCAAGCGGGATGTGTGCTTGCCGACTATGATAAAGCCTGTGGAAAGATTGGTCTTCGAGTAAATCTCACAAAATGATGTTCATGAGGAATGGATTGGTTTCATATGCTCCATTCACGCTCAGCCGAAAGAACACCTCCGAATGCTCTAGTTACGTCAATATAAGTCGGGAAATCAACATGATGAACGACTTAGCTCCAGAGTTAAGCAGAATGAAACGAACGGCTTGGGGAGCTTTCAAGAGCATCGAGGATGCAATGAAGAGAACAAAGAACATCCGACTCCGTGCCCATCTTTTCGACTCAACGGTACATCCAGCTCTAACGTATGCGTCAGAAACCTGGTCGCTGCGTAAGCAGAATGAAAGGTCACTCAGCCTTATCGAACGCGCAGTCGAAAGGACGATGCTAGGAGTATCCCGTTTCACACAAGTAAGGAATGGGATCCGAAGCTCCGACCTGCCTCAACGATCAAAAATCAGAGATGCCGTTCTGTACGCCAAATAGTCGAGGATAAGATTGGCCGGACACGTAATGCATGTGAATGACTACCGATGGATAAGAGCCTTTAGTGACTGGATTCCTCGGGATGTCAAACGCGCTGCAGGAAGACCACCGACGCGATGGTCAGAATTCTTCACGAAGAGCCTTGAAGAAAGATATGATGCTCGACGAGTCCATAGAGCGAGCAAAACCCACTACTCTTGCACGCGAGAGGGAGAAATGGAAGATTTATTGCCGCCCGCTCGAGTCACTCGACGATCAACGGGACTACAGGTGATATAGATGTATTCACTTTCACTAGTCCTTCCTATGCGTGGTAGTTGTAGTACACGTCCAGTTAGCTCTTCTCAACTTAACAAGTTGGTGAGTACCTGTAGATGGCACTGACTCCCACTGCTGCCGACGTTGTAGATGAAAAATAGCCAAGCGAGGTTATCGGATCTCGAATAATGTGAGCTGGTGGGAAGCAGATGGGTGCACGACGAAACCAATGCCATCGAAATTTCGCAACGTAAGTTCCCTCTGCGGATGACAGAGGCCAGTTGTTTAATTGGCAAATGTCGGTCCTCTTGTGTTTCGACCTTTGTTAGCCGATGACACGGAATTTGAAACCATGTGTAACAACAAGTGGAGCGTGAAGATAGGCGTCTGAGAAAACCGTTTTGGTTTTATAACTGTAAAATAAGAAACAGTCTCCATGGAGTGGCGAGTCGTGTTTGTGAGATTCCTGTTCCAGTGAGCACTTGTCCAAACCGAGATTTAGTCGCATCTCAACGGTGGTCCCATCTCCTAAGTTCACATTAGGGAATTTATTTTTCCCGTGTGTCCTGGTCTAGCCTTGCAAGTGCGTTTCTAGGTCTTCAACATGATCTGAGTCTGAGGGAAATTTTGTATCGGCAACGACTCCTTCGACCAGTTGCCTTACTAGTTGGTTCAAAAATGATATTTAAACGGTATTTGAAATGTGTAAACAGGGGAGAAAAATTTCCTGAACCCCCCAAGGACAATATAGAAGACGTAGATACCATATTGTGTTTCATTGTATTTCATGTATGTTTTTATTCTATACAACACGTTTTCAAGTCTACTGTGCGGATCACAGCACTTCCCACATTCGATTGGTTTCTTCGCATTCGTCATTCATCCGCGAAGATTCCCCAACTTTTACGGGTGCCTCTGATTGCTGCTTGAAGGTTTTCTTTTCATCTTTAATGTCGTAGAACACTGGTCGAGTCGACTTTCCGTGAATTCCGGAGATAGCGGGGCTCGAGCGTTACCAAATGGATTGTATACAGTGATTTTTTTCCCGGACAAGTCGGACACTAATTTCCCAGTACCGGAGGGGTGAGATGCTTAGCGGGCCTAGTGCGGATCGAACCGCGATCGTGATCGTGATGATCGGCACCACTACCACTGCACTAACAGCCCCTTGCATTTCGCATTAATGCCTAGGCATGTCTATGTTTCCGGACACATGTTTACATTGCTCTTAAGCGAGACATCAACACATAACTGTACATTTGTCGTATTTCTCATACAAATCCAATATTAGTAAGTAACTGCTCCCTACTCCTTGTAAACTTTGCTCTTGCTGTCGCTGTAGACGTATGGGTCGTTTGTTTTGCCTTTCAGCGAATAGCTTCCACCACTGGATCGGAATAGCGCGAAAACCTCCTGAAAGAATCACACGAGCGGTTCCCTGCGATCGTTTGCATGGAACAGTAAAAATAAAGAGTCCCGTACATAAAGTTTGTTATACATTGAGCCACAATGGCGCGGATAGCGCAGTGGTTGGGATGTCGGTAATCATGAGCATGGTGCTAGTTCGATTCCGCTCGGGACTAACCACGCCACTAGTCCATCCGGGGTCGATATTAGTACCAGACTTGTCTGTAGAAAAAAACACTCTCTGCAGTCTAATTGGGAACGCTCTATCCTGACTATTTCAGGACTCCAGGGAGAATTGCTCGACCAGCACTCTACGACATTCAAAATGAAATGAAAATCCTCAAGTAGCAGCTGAAGCCACGCGTAAAAGTTGAAAGACCTTCGTGGACAATGGACACGAGGAAACGAATCGAATGTGAGAAGTGCCAAGATTCACACAGTAGACGTGAAGACGGGTCATATAATACAAAAAATAAAAAAAAGAATACTCTTGAGAATATTTTAGCATAACGCCGCCCCTCATACGCCACAGTAACCAACGTAAATTTCATTACCGCCTTAAGTACTCTGTTAATGACCAGGTGGTGGTCGCAGGAATTTAGTCACAGGGATAGAGCCAAGGTTAGCATGGACCGTCCGAAAGCGTGCGGCCGCGTTGCGCTCTGCCCCTTTCAGTGACCTTCGTTCATTGTTTCCTAGTTCGTCAACCATCAGACGGGAGGAAAAGGTGGAGGAGTTCTTCTACTTCTAGGTTTTATTTTTCTTAAGGTAGGTGGTTTACTTAACGTTAAGATATGAGTACTGTTTCAGTTACAATGTCTTCATCTCATTTGTTTCCTTTCTAACTATTCCTTACTTTCCAGTTTTTCTTTTTTGTCTTCGGGAATATGTTTCCTGCATTCGATTGCCTCTCATTTTAACCCATTGTGCTTATTCCGAAGAAATGTGGAAGTATTTCTGATAGGTGGTTGTTTTATCTAACATTTTGGCTTTTTTCCCCACTTTTGTAGAAAGTGTTCATATCGCACCAATGCTAGATCATTTGACGGAAGCTAGTAGAAGGATGGTGTGTAGTTGTCGTTCCGACGTTTCTTATTAAGAACCTTAGTTAAGAGTAAAAGCCAGTAAATAATTGGCAATAATGGCAAATCTCCTTTCATTGCATAAAGTGTTAATGGTTTGCTGTGGTGTCGATCTTTGCAAGTCCTGGCACTGTTTTCTTCGAACTCCAAAATTTAACCCTTTTCCCATCAGTAGGATAACTCGTGTTCTTGTCCATGTTGTTCTCTGTGAAGGGACTCCCTCCATCTGTGAGGAGACCTTCACTTATGACCTTTCAGACCTTATCAAAAATTCCTCATTTTTAATTTTATTACACAACATTTGTGAATGGTAAAGTCAAGAAGTACGGAGTCCTACGTCATGGTGTTTTCTTGGGTGCCATTTGCTTTGGAAGTGATTTCAGGCTTCTTTTTTCCGATGTTTGAGTGATGGTCATCGTCCACCTTTCGCGTAACCACTTTCCATTTTACTGGTTACCGGTTACCACTACTTTTGCGGCGTTGTATGTTCCCTTACTTGTCTTTGCCAACCAGGCTAATTTTGATCTGGAAAAGGTGGGTTCCCATTGTTTGTTATTTTCCTTAAGTTGGATATATTTTCGCTTTTTCAATGTTTTATGTTTTCGACGTCGCTCTTACAGTCATTGTCATTTTCGTGTGATCGTCCTTGTTACAATGGCCTTTGTTTGAATGGTTCTTGCATTTGTTCGAAAGGTTGGGTTGGAGTTCAGTGTGATCACTGTTACGGTCGTATAAAGTAAGTTAGTCACTTTTCTTTGTTTTCACTTATTAGTTTTTACGTCCACGCTAGGTATAATCTTATAGGGACAGCAATGCAGAATTGTTCGGAGGCATCCCAATTTTTCCCACAAGTTCGGTTATTAACGTTAACTGCAAGTGTTTCTATATGCGGTGTATTTTCAGTGACGTTAGGGAAAAGATAAGGGATAAAAAAGATTAAGCTCTCGGCGTTGATATATCCCTTAGGGATGCGCCATGTATTCCACTTCATTAAGCATCGTTAGAGGTGGCTGAATGCATATCTGGCCTTTAGAATGACTCGCCGTGGTCTACCGATGTATCGAGCCAGTGCTGCTATCCCCTTAGGCAAGTCTATTACCAATTTGTCGACCCCAGAGGGATGGAAGGCTAAGTGCGTCCGGTGCATGGGGATCGATCACACGTTTATTAAAGGACCCCTTCGACCAATGTGCTACATGGGCCAACTGGGAGATAAGTTATGTCTCTTTATTACAATGTTTTGGTAGTATAGATTTCTCTGCATTGGAACTATCCGTGGAAGCAAAAAAGGAATTTATCATTTGCACTAACAGTACCGTACTTGCTTGTGTATACGGCTGCTTTCTAGCAGCGAATGTAATCTCATTTAAAAATATGAATAAGTTTCTCCTTTATGCATGTATGGATGGGAGAGAAGAATATTTGTGCGGTGATGGACATATTAGTAGTCGCAAACAGTAGTGATCACCATTCATCAGAAGGTGTTATAAGGTGGGGAAATTTGTGGACTCTCTCTCTGCAGGTGCGTGTAGCACAGTGCTCGAAACCATCCTGCAATACACATGGGATCAACCCCGCCGGCCTAGGCCCACCAAGCCTTCCATCCTCCCGAAGTCGATAAACTGGGTGCCATATATGTATTCAATCACCTCCAACGATGCTTGATAAAGTCAAATGCATGGCGCATCGCTCAGGGATTGATCAACGCCGAGAGCCTTATCCTTTTTATCCTTATTCTCTCTCTTTAGTAGTTGTTTAAGATGGGTAAGATGGAATTTGCTCTAAGCATTTAGTTCAAGAAATATCAATGAATGTTTTCGATCAAAAACTATCATAGATGAATTCATGAAAAAAAAGTATTGAGTTGGCACAACTCGTAAGAAACTTCAAAAGAACTCGGCTAGTTAAATATAACTTCTATATGTTAATCGGCTATTCAGTGTAATCATTTCATCTTAAAGAATCTTAGTCACATTCCCACAGACTTGTTTCGAAACCACTTGGGTTGGTGACTACATGTAGTATAGAGTTGATAGCACCGTAGAAGGGTTGTCACGGTGCCTTAGAGGAACAATGCTTGACCGAGGTCCAGCTGTTGGTAGCACAGTAGAGGGGATACCAATGGAGTTTAGAGAAACAAACCGTGCTTGACCGGAATCCAACGTGTTAACGGAGGAAGAAATCGAGGAATACTTAAGTCACGGCAAAAACGCACGAACACTTTGTAGATTCTGTTTGCAAGACAACGAAATCGGTGAAAGTATTTCCGAGATCCACCTGAGTTGTGAGTGACATTTCAAACCATTTATAATGCTGGAGTTTTTGCACACTATTGTACAGTTTATGGTCAACTCAATTTTTATTATGTTATACCTTTTTATTTTCTGCCTATTATAATTTCGCGGCAGGGTACTAAGCGAAATACAACCACAACGTTGCTGAAATATTTGCAAAACTCTGGACCGCAGGTGTCTATGATGGGGAACGAACGCGCTATTGTCCTTTCCGGAGAGTAACGCGTTCACCACCACACCATGCGGGTCCTTCTTCCCGGAAAGGACAATAGCGCGTTCGTTCCCCACCATAGACACCTGCGGTCCAGAGTTTTGCAATTATCTCAGCAACGTTTCAGTTTTTATTATTTTCCTGTTAGTTGTTGCATATTTGCTCCAAATTGTGCCATTGTTAGTTACATCCAGTTATTGGTCTATATTGTGATTGAGCATTGTATCCTTCGTGCTCAAGTTAGGGAATGAGTGGAAATAGTAGCTAGAAAGTTGGCAACACTAAAACGCTCTCCGGGCGTCCGCCGGGTAAATCCTCATCTCCCCAGGCCCAGTTTCAGCATCAAAGGGTACCCCTCGGTTCACTAACGGTTATTTTTTTATTTTTTGAGGAACTCTGGAGTTTATTGTCTATAAGGAAGATTCGTTCTTTCTGCACTCTTCTGCGAGTCATTTCAGGCTGACTGAAAATCAGAGTCATCTCATTGATGGGCCTCTCGACTACACTTCTTCTTCAAAGTGCACATGGGTGATAGAAAACGTGAACGTTTGTGACTTTGTCTGATCTATGTATTCAACTGCTTTATTTCTGTACTTTTTGCAGAATACTGGAGCTTCATTAAATATACGACTTGAAAACTTCCAAACAGAGTGTGGTTGGGATTTTGTGTATATCTACGATGGTGATGGTGTTTATGGCGAACAACTTGCAGCGTTTTGGTGAGATTTATATTTTGGATATGTTTCGTTGTTGACGATCTAGGTTCGTCTATCGGAATTTTGTAAAATTTCAGTGGCGATCAACAAGTGCAGGAACTGAACGCACCATCCGGAAAGGCTTTAATATATTTTTTCAGTGATCTAGCCATGAATTTGAACGGGTTCAATATTACGTACGAATTTGATAAGTGAGTTTGGTTAAATTATTGTTTACATTAGTGACAAAGGCTGAGGCTTTGTGTACTTCATATTTCACTTATCAAACTATTGTTAAAGATGCCCATATAACTGCCATGCCCATGGACTGTGTCGAAATAGCAAATGTATTTGTGAGGAAGGTTTTACGGGTTGGTTTATCATTTTTTAACGTCTTATTTGATATATTATTTCACATTTTTGTGGTTTTCTTAGGTACTTACTGTGATATGCGGACATGTACTAAGGACGACGAGGGGAAGCCGGGACCATGTTTGCATGGTGGGATCTGTAAAAATCTCCGATGCTCTTGTGCACCTTTTTACCACGGTGAGTACGGTAGACTTCGTCATTGCTCAGTGGCAAAACTCCGGTAATGTTCAGGTCTTTTTCTTTTTCTTTTTAACAAGGAAGGAACATCTAGTAGTCCAGTTGCCTTTTTGAGGTATGGTTCCGAAGGCAAATCTTTATGTAATCAAGTTCACACTATTTCTGTGATTCGTTTTTTGTAATACGTTGAGACATGTTAGAGAAGTTGGATTTTTACACGTATACTTGAAGTACCTCCCAACTGTTTACCCCTTCATCGTGGCTAGGAGGTGTTCCTGGTTGTCGCGCTACGTTGTATAGCGGGTGTTCATCCCTCCAAGCTGAGAAAGAGTTCGGCGTTTCCATTAGGAAGCCCTGCTAAGAGTAAACCAGTACCAGGGTCCACCACAGTACTGGTACCAAGCTAGTCGCATGGTGGCAAATCTCTCTCTGATCCACGAGGGCGGCAACCATCTGTGATGGTGACAATCTAGGGTAGACTTTGACTGTGCTGGCTTCGGGACTCCAAGGAACCACAATGGCTAAACCAGCAAAATTCCGGAACATTGGAAAATGTACTGAGAGTCGCACAACTAGTGAACACGGGCCATCCAAATATGCTTGAAGTACAGTACTGGCAGTGATTTATTTTTGGGTTGAATTTAATTTCGTATCAGGACGTTGGAACTATCCAAAATATATGAATGTGTTATTTATCCCCGTAACGCTGACAACGTGTATCGAATCGCAACGCAAACGGAAAACGTGTCCGCTTATGTATAAATCTTGGTTCAGTTCTAAATTTGTTTATGTCTAATATAAAAGAATCATTTTTAAAAAATCACACATGGTCCTCTTTATCCGCAATTTTCTGTTTTTGTTATAAAATTTTGTTGCTTATTTCAGTGATTACGGTAGTCACATGTTTACAAACATCAAACAACGCTTATTGTTGAATAGCCTAAAGTGGTCGCACATTTCATAGGGAAATTCTACACTAGACACGGTTTTACGTAAAAGTTTGATAACATTGGTGAATAGCAGTTACCTGAGACTCACAAAACCTTGGAACTGGTTATATTTTCGTTGTTTTTGCGTTGGCATTGGTGAAGTTTCTAAGTTGTTTCAGGTGAGAATTGTCAGGTTCAAAACAAACGGTCTGTTTGGGATCGTATCACGGTAGATAGAGCCCCAGCGGGTCGTGCGTCTCATGCTTCTGTGATTATTGATGATACGATTTGGAGTGTAGGTAAGGTGCTACACACGGACTTAATCACTTCACATTGTTTGTAACATCCACATACATCCAAATGGACACCATTCATTAGATTGTTAATCACATCACATTGTTTTCTTCTAGGCGGTGAACACTTCAACGGTGTTTTATTCGAAGACCCTGTTGTGTTTAATTTAACATCTCGGTTGTGGACTCCGATAGTGGTTGAAGGAAAGTATAAACCGGCTTCCAGATTTGACCACACGCTTGTCCGATATAAAGTAAAGTTTAACTTTTAATTGCTGTCATTTTCTTAGGTGTTATTTTTTTTATCAGTAGTAGCTTTGTGAATAAACTCAAGCTCTTTAACATGAGTTAGTTCTCGTAACACTACAATCTTGTTTTAGATGAAGTTGTTCATGTTCGGTGGTGTCGTCGGTCGAAAAAACATTACGAGTGAACTTTGGAGTTTCGATTTACAAACAAGGGAATGGAGACTGGAAGGTGGAGAAAACAACAACATAATGGTACTTTTGAGATTTTCTTGTGTTCGCGCGTTTAGGTTACTCCTTAAAATGCATGGAAACTTGTTTTACCATCGTTTGATTTTCGCTGAAATTGCTTAAGGTATTGTATGAAAATCTTATCTACTTCTGCCAAACGGCATTACACAACGAACATCGGCTCCCGTTCTATTTTCTCTCTTCTCTGTGGTTAGCACAGTGGTTAGTGGTACGCTATATTAGGAAGGAGGGTTCTGGTTCTAGCCCCTCACCTTTGCTGTCGTTCAATCCACAAAGCAAGGGCTTAGCCCGATTGTCTCCAAGATTGGAAGGAGAATCGACGAGATTCTACTAGGTTCGTAAAGAATACGAAATCCTTAAGCAACGGCCGAAACACGCAAAATGTCCGAAGGCGTTCGTATATGATGAATGCGATGAAAGTGAATTGAATGCAAAAAGTGCTGGAGTCTGTATAGTCTATTTGATGACAGGTCATGTAAAATCAAATGAGTAAGTAGTATTCTATAGAGACGGTTGCAGAATGTGTACAAGGCTGGATCGAACCGCGGTTATCCGTTCCGGGGGCTCACATTTTGCGCAGGGCTCGACCGAAGCCCCCAATCTCTATCTCTCAGCCAGTCTTTTTACCATAACGGTGCCGTCAGCAATCACCTGTTATCGCAAATGATATGGGTAGCACGAAAAAAATAATGGGCATTAGGTAAATGTTGTACATTGTGAGTTCCACTACAGCCTCAACTTAACTGGGTTTGATGCCAATTTGTACTCTTGGGATAATTTCCACTGATTCCTAATGGCACCGTTAGGATAAGAAGGCTGGATGAGAGGAAGGTAGGACGAGGGTCGCCGTGGTGCCGCGCCTAACTGGTGAAGAAAGGATAGGCACGGATTTGAAGCTCATCTAAGGTTCCGAATTCGATCTGGCCTGGGTTCCATGTTTTGCAAATATCTGAGCATCATTATGGTTGTTTTTCATATAAAACGCTGCCGTGAAGAAGTAATGGGCAATAGATAAAGCTATACATTCTGAGTAGAAGTGGTAGCGACGACAGGTATTAACTTATCGTTCTAAATGTTATGTTATCCTAGAATAGTTGCTAAATTGTTTACAACAACGACTACGGCCAACTTAACGAGTACTTGCCTTCCGATCGAAAAGCTTGTCGACGCGTTCGACCGAACTGTAATACAGAACCGAAATTCTTCCATATATTTGCTACACGATAAGAATGGCGGACTTTTGCAAATTTTATTGTCTTTATTAGTTGAACCTTCCAGTTCTAGTATTAGAAAGCAAAATCTATGACGAGTCAGGAGATTGTGGAAAGTTTCTCGATGTGTCACTAGTTTAAGCAAATTACGTGCTTTTAGTGGTAAGTTATAATGGCGTGAAATTGTGGAAATTTTTATCGCCATCTGAAATAAGTCTAGAAATGTTCAATATCTACCGTTTTATGTTTTATTCTATTTTAAAGAATTTGAAATCTTCAATGGTGCTTCTAAATGTCGTTATATTAAAAAGAAGGTGCATTTTTTATATGAGCAAAAAAAAATAGAGGATAAGGCTCTCGGCGTTGTTCAATCCCTGAGGGATGTGCCATGCATTCGAGTTCATTAAGCGTCGTTTGGAGGTGGTTGAATACGTATTTGGCCTTTACAATGACTCACGGTGGTCAACCGATATCTCGAACCAGTGCTGCTATTCTCCCAGACAAGTCTGCTACCAATTTGCCAACCCCGGAGGAATAGAAGGTTTGATGCACCATGGGCGCGGTGATCGTTTCCACTTGTGCGTTGCAGGGCACTTCCGACCACTGCGCCCCACCGCCCTTACATAAGTAGTTGGATGAATTATTTTCAGAAGTTATGGTGACCCCTGCGCAATTTAAATTGCTTCAATGTCTTGCAACCGATCTGTGAAAATAGTCGGTTTCGTACATGGTGATATGCACACTGGCATTCCCATTATCCATAAATCGTATCCCACTGCGCATAATGCCTATACTAGAGGTATTGTTACAGTTTATGGGAAGTTATCCGTTTACTGTGTATTCTTCTGACCTCATGACCGCTCCATCTCTGTGAGTTGCTTTCAGATTGTCTTGAAATAATCTTTTTTTCTACATTTTGAATCTACTTTAGCGGGGCTTGATACCCAAAAAACAAAAGGCTGTGTTGATCGACTTCTCGGTATTTGCTCTGCAATTTTTATGAATTTCATCGATTTCGTATCAGTGCTTCTCTGCTGTGGCCGTTTCGACAGGTTACAGAAAGTTGTGGTAGAGTTATCCGACTGTACACCACAAAATTGTCGCCACTACTTTATCTTGATGCTTTCGGAAACGTTTATGAACATCATAGTCCAAGTACTATTGTATGTCGTTTCTTGCTGTATGCTTTCACTTTTCACCGCATATCACTGTGCCATCGTGAAATGAGTCGTTTTTGTTCCGCTGTGGTGGAAGATGGAAGCAGTCTCTGTACTCTTTGCATTTCATTCGACCCTCATTTATTGGGTGTTTTTTCAACGAGTCAGCTTCATTTAATTATCAGTAGTCGTCATCTGTTGTTTGGCACTTACAAAGAAATATCTCCGCTACGAAACTTTTCGATTGTTCACCGCATATATCGACGATATGTCGTTATGCATCCACGGAAGCATCTCAGAGTTTTAACTCATTGAAGAAAACGATGCTCTTTTCTTACATTGAGCCTTTCATACTAACCAGTTTACAGTAGTTGCAAATTGTTTTAAGAAATTTTTGCAGGCAAGTACTTACCAACAAGAGCGTTAATTTTTCATTCCTACATCCGGTCTCACCAAACGTTCCATCTGCCCCAAGTCGATAAGTTAGTGCCAAACTTGTCTGGGAGGAAATCAGAGTTGATTCGTTCCGTAACAACAGCGGTAACCATTATTGTGACACCTAGTTTTAGATTGTTCGAAAGTTAATTAGTTAAAAGCTTCAGTCTGTATTTCTGAATAGGTAGTTCTTATCTCAGAATAAACTTTGCTATCGGAATAGCAACTTCGCAGTTTTCACATTCTTGTCAACGAGAAACAATTTCAGTTTTACCAGTTGTATAAAATTCTGGGTGTGTAAAGATGAAATCGTTGGACTTAATTTCGTCCTCGGATTGGTTTCTGAAGCATTTCTCAAAAAACGGGTTATCGAGATACTTGGAAAAACGATAGGTTCCGACGAGTATGCTGCATGAAGCAGAGTTTCGTAGCCTAGCTCGTTCAACTACCGCAGCATCGGTTGCACGACGCATCAGCGCGTGTTGTCGTGGAGAACGATTGATGCTTTTCTGTTGGCCAATGCGGGGTTCAGTAGTTCCACTTTTTGCTGCACTTCCTTAATTGTTGGAGGTTGTCCATCGCCGTAACCGTTTGACCCGGAATGAAGAAGCTTTGATTGATCAGACCAGCTGTAAACCACCATACGGTCGAAGTGTTCTTTTTTTGGTGCAATTTCGGCTTTTCGAACTGCTCTGGAGCTTTATTAGTGTACAACCACTGAGATAATCGTCGATGGTTATCGTAAAGGTTTCATTTCTCGTCATACTTCACAATACGGCCGAGAAACCGATCGTTCTAGTTCCATAAATGAACCTTCGACGGTACCTCAAAACGGTAATTTCTTTATGATTAAGTCAATGCGGCATCCATGTGTCGAGCTTCCAGTTATCTTTAGATGCCACACTTGACATTCTGATAGAGACTTCTATAAATATCGTAAATATCGAAAAGTTTCGCATTTATTTGCTTCCATCAAACCCTTCAAATCGTCGTCGTCAATAGTAAATATCCACGACCTAGCTAACCCTAAAGGTAGAGTTCTCCATAACGAAGTTTTCCAAATCAACGTTGTATTGTGCGTTCGTAAGCTTTTCCTTGGCCCTCTGCTTTGTGTTTCAACTCGTTTAGCCACACTTCGTTCGAGTTTGAACTCGGAAAAGTAAATTGGATGAAACTGCCGTTCTTACATCGCAAAATCCAGCCTCTAGATGCTGTAATACAATTATTTTTCTTTATATCACCCGTCTTCAAATCTACAGTGCACACTTCTGACATTCGACTGCTTTCCTCGCATCCAACATTCACAATGGTCTTTGGATATTTCGTGTGTTGTTTCGGGTTCTGCTTGTGAATTTCGTTTTCTTCTTTAGGATGTAGAATGCTGGTCGAGTCAATTCTCCTTGCAATACTGGAGACAACCGCGCTAAGGTGAGCCCTAGTGGGTTGGAGGAGTGCGTTGAGGCGGGATCCAACAGGCGCATTGCTTCTTGATCGACAACATCACTAACCATTGAGCTATCCCAGCCCCTTAGTACAGTTCTACATAACGAAAATTCGCAAAGTGAAACCTGCAAATTCTATAATGCTGTACCAGGGAGCGGATAGCAGAGTGCTAGTGATGTCAGTCACCACGAGCATGGTCCTAGTTCCATTCCGTTCCAGGACAACCAAGCCTTTCTTCCATCTGGGATCGCGAAATTGGTACCGGAATTGGTAAAACCACTCTCTGTAATTCAGTTGGGATCGTTCCAGACCGGTCATCTCAGGACTCCAGGGAAAATCGACTCTACCAGCATTCTACGACATTCAAGATGAAATGAAAATCTTGAAGCAGCAACCTATGCCACTCGTAAAAGTTGGAAGACCTTCGTGGATAATGGATACGAGGAAGCCAATCGAATGAGAGAAGTGCTAGGATCCCTATAGTTGGCACGAAGACGGGTCATATAAAAAAAATTAAAATTGGAAAAGTAATACTGTGCCGTCCGAAAAAAAAACTTTGGCTAAGATATGTGCAGGACACAATAAAATTACAATTCCGACATTAATTTGCGAACGGCCTGGTAAAGTGTCACCGAAATATATAATGTCTCATTACGCGCCTTTGAATTTCCTTGTACTCATTGTAATTCGTCCCATTTTTCTCCTAAAATTTGCGCCTTTTCACATAGTTTTTTTTAGAATTGAAATGGTTCTGTCTTTGGAAGCTGTTAAACTGTATCCAAAGCTACTACGCAAAATTCAAGAATTGGGAAGCAGTGTAGTGATTGAAAGGAAACTTGAAACTTCATTGAAAGTGCACTGAGAATTATTGATTTGTGGAGAGGTAAAAGAAATTGTAATGGGCAGTAAATCTGATCGTAACCATACGACGATTATTAGAAGAGCCGTAGAATAATTAAGAAAAGAGCGGAAATGGCAGCGTTGCTAAACTTCTTGGAATAACTAGGTCATCTATGTTCAATTTGTCGTCAAGCAAGTGCTAAGACGCCCGAGGTATCTTCTTTTCCACGGACAGCCTAATCTATGAGGTTAGTGCTACCGAAATGGAAAGATTTACTAAAAATATCACAAAAGCGGAAATAGCGCTTCTAAGGTAGAATTTTCTGAATACTTTATCTATGATCAATGACCCTCCTACATCTTGGCATTAATTCTCCTGGTTTTCCAAGTTCGGAGATTCCTGGAGCACTGCGAGATTACCCAAATATCGTCTGTATTTGATTCTAACTGCCTGCGTCGCATCCTAGAATCATTGAACTTCTTGTAGAAGATCTGTATCACTTGCTTAACTGGTTATTTCGATTTTTATTTCAACGTTGTTTGCGATGCGGTTGGGTTGAAAGAGTGGCAAATTAAAAGAAAATTTCTGCATGAAAATGAACATTCAGTGTTTCATGACTCCCATACTTTTTGCTCACCATTATATACGAATTTCATACAAGAAAATATTTTTATCTCACTATTAAAGCACCTCAAATCTCCTTCATAGAGCAATCTCTAAACGATACAGGCGATGAACCGTAGTGTGTACCTAGATGACGAATAAGGGATTAATTGCGGACCAAAAGCTGCCGTGTGCTTCCCTGAGACGCAGGTGGATCCAAGGGTTGAGCATCCTCTTCTGCGCCGATTTGGCACGTATCTTCTGCATTTACGAGGACATATTCATACATACGTGTGTGGGTGTGTTCTTATTTATACGGTTTGTATTCTACGAGTTAATTCGGCCAAAAGCCTGCAATCAAGTTACTGGGCATTATGGGTATTATATTGGGATTCCGTTGGAAATCTTCAGCAAGTAAGCTCCCCGTCTGCGCTGAGGACTGGCAAGATACGCGTGACCGACATCAAGCTATGACGAAGGTGAAGTCCAATCGTTCAGTATGGACTTGGGAAGTTCTACAGAGAAGACGTTGCATCCTGTAGGATCATCATTCGAGATTTTAACACTATGATTAGACCTAGGCGAACGGTTGATGATTGTTACATTGGAACCAACGGATTAGAATGGAACGTACAGGGTGAGCGGCTGTCTGAGTTTGTCATAACGAGCAAAACCATTAATGGTTTCATTCATAGCGTTTGATATGGCTTGCTTCCAATCCCGATACCATAACGAAATAGATGACATAATAGTAAATCGAATGTTTTGCTTAAACGATTTCGCTGTTGTTCTTAAATTCGACACTGGATCAAACCATCGCCTTATTCATGCAAGATTCTCTTTCTACTGGAAACTAGAGAAAGCATTTAATTTCAAAAAGAGGGTATCCCAGGCTTACGACAAACTGCTTCACATTGGCGCTATGAAACCGAGTGTTCGAAAGACACCAAAAAACGTCTGTCTCCAGAAATATTTGAGCTGACGCGCTAACGTGGTATAGCACGAACCACAGGCAACTGCTCACTAACTTACGAGTTTGCAAAACAAGGCGGAAAAGTAATAAAAGAAGATGTTAAAGAGAGAGGGCAACAGTTGTGGTCGAAGTTGCAGAGGGTGGAGAAAGCATCCGCAAAACCACCGAAACTCCTCCAGTTTCAAAACTTTGATGATTTCACGCCGAGACACAGACGGAGCAGTTATACCCACAAGGGCAATAATTGTTTATCATTCATTCACCACTGCTACTGTAATCTCCCCAATTTCCACGTCCTCTCACCCTCATATGAAATAAGGGTCGATAGATATTCGTCCCACCGGTTTTCCCTTCCGGAACCCGACATGCTATTTCGTCGTTTAAAAGTCGAACAACTCCTCCAGATTGGATGGAGCTTGAACATCTTAGAAACCTTCCGCTATGCCTCATTAGCATACTGGGTTGCGTCAGAAGCCTGGTCGCTGCGTAAGCAGGATGAAAGGTAACTCAGCGTTATTACACGTGCAGTGGAAAGGACGATGTTAGGAGTATCCTGCATTACACAAGTGAGTGAGGAGATCCAAAGGTCCTACCTATTTCAACGATCAAAAATCAAGGACGCCGTTCTATATACCAAACTGTCGAGCATACGATGAGCCGGATGCATAATGCGTGCGAACAACAAGAAGAGGGCAAGAGCCCTGAGTGATTTGATTGCTCTAAATGTCAAACGTACTTTAGCAAGACTACTGACCCGATGGTCAGAGTTCTTCATGAAGATCCTAGAAGAAAGGTATGATGTTCAACCAGTTTCCTGATCGGGCAAAGTGGAGGATTTATTGGAGCCGGCTCAAGTCACCCGACGGGCAATAAGGCGATATGTGATCCAAGTGATTAAAACACAATATTCTTTCCTTAGTACTTTATCTGGCTCTCATTGAAAGAACCCACCTTGAGAAGTCATGCAGTTTAATGTGCAGCAGAATCAACGCTTACTTTTTAAATTAGTTCATATAACCACAAAGAGATCAGTCATTGGTTGAAAACGAATCATTGTTTGAAAACTTCATCTAAGCATTGTTTTCCGTCACCTTTCAGATTAATTAAATCAAGAAAGTGTGTTATTTGTCAGAAGTGTTAATTGTTATTTCGAGTTGGTGTTGTATGCGGCGGTTTTGTCAGAGGCATTATTCATATATCGTGAGGACTACTTTAGTAGTTGCGAGTGGAAATTAGGTCTTCGAGTCAGTTCTCGGCACCTTATGATCACTAGCTTTGAGTAGGATGCTCGACTTCGTAGAAATTGCCACGCGGGACTTTTTCGTAATTGTCGCAGAGCAATATCCCAAACTAGGGTAATTAGACCGTTTGTAACAATAATTATTCAAGAATAACGAAATATAAACATTGGTATAATACAGACTGCAATGTAGTATCATAATCAATAAGTGAGGGTAAGGCGTATTAATATCTTTACTACAGGCCAGTGAAACAGTGCCATGTACATTTAGAATACATCAATAGTGTCACAAGATTTGGGCTCATTAAGGGTTTTATACCTGACTCACCAACAACAATACTGCAGTGTTACACGCTATATGTAGGCCTGCGATGTTCTTATGATGTTAACACGTTAAAGGCGACATGTAAGCTTGTTATAACATTGCGATGAGGTTATGTGTTAACTTGTAAGTACATTGCGATTAGGTTAACGTATTAAAGAATACATGTAAGCGTATGAGTATTCTGCGATGAGATTAATGTGAACACACAATAGAGTTAGCGTGTTTAGAGGTACATGACAGCAAAGTTGATATACAACAGTGACCACATACAATAAGAGAGAACACTTTGGATTAACTACATGACGCATCACACATGATGGACATGGGGTGAATACGATATTGACTCACGGGGCTATTTAAATGTCTTCTGGGGGAGTCCGTGCTTGGACACAGGTCCAGAACTTTTGCCGAAAACATTCGTCGACTTCCACATCCAGCTCCCTTTTGATCAAATCAGATGACTAAGGACGACTTCCTAGACAATTTCATGTCCTTTGTGTTATCATACTCGTGATGGTTTGGAACAGAAACAATACACAAAAAGTTCCGATTGCATAAAAAGTGTGTGGATAACAAAGGATATTTACGACAACTAAAGTTTTCTCTCAATGAAGTGAAAACATTTACATGTTGCAAGGTCGCAAAGCGATGTGAGGGACTACGAATGTGGTTACCACAGACCTATGATATGATTGAACTATTCTGGCAATAGTTGCTTTAACTGTTGAGTTAATCAGGAGTGAACAGAGTTCTAGATTCATTAGTTGCTGACTTCTCTTAGTTTCCTGAACTCTATGTTACTTTTTTTCCATACATACACTCTTTTCATCTCAACTAACACTTCATCCGACGCATTTATAGTAGGCTGATGAGCGGCATCTAGTTCGCTTTCGGATACCATTAATATATCAATCTGTTGGTGATGAGAAATGCTTATGTTAAACGCAAATTTTTTCAATATGTATTCTTTCTTTGATGAGCTTACACGAGGTTGATAATGATGTTTATTTTCGGCTGAGGTTTCGACGTCTTCGTCTTCCTCAGAGCCGATGATCCGAGTCGATGCAAATTTTTTCATTTATACAAGATAGCATTTCCTCCCAGAGTATTGCTAAATTTAGTCGTCTGCTGAAGAAAACATCAATTGCAAACGCTAAGAAATGTGCTACAACGACGCTATCAAGGAGAATAATATCCTCTTTATTAGAAATATGGTAGTAACGGGTTTTGCTATTGGGAAATACTTATGTTTTGCGACGATTTTATTTTTTCCCAAAAAGTGAAATTTTGTAGAGGGAAATGTTTCGGTTTTTGTCTCGTTATTATACCTCTATTTTTTGCGATTTTTTTGTTCTACTTAACTATACTTTCTTATTCTGGGGTTAGAGTCTCCAACAAGAATTAGGCGTTTGCGTTTTCTACGATTTTTCCTCACCGAATGATCTACAGTTGGCTATCAAATGTGTCTAATCTTTCCTATATTACTCTTAGGTGAAAGTGCTTTTGAAGAGATTTTGAACATATTCGTAGCCGTGAAATTCTACGTAAGTGGGAAAAAAAGAACAAGAAGTCTTTAGGTTGCTTCATAATAGCTGGTCATTTGTTGTTGTGGAATAGAGGTTATTTATGTCATATCGATCGATTTGGTTCAGAAAAGCGATTCTTTGATACTGTAAACTGTACTATTGTAATACTATTCACTAAAACTGAAAAAGAGAAAACTCCTGCCTTGAAGGTTTATTTTTCTTTTCTTTGCACTTTAAGGTATGACACAGTTCATGAAAGGAATTCGGTAACAGGTAAAGAACATAAAAGAAAGGAAAAATTCGGTCAAAGGACTAAAATTATCGGAAATTTGTTGTGTTATGTGGGGAAAACCCAACGAGGATATAAGGACTGGCGAAAAGTAGAGTCGCTCAGTAAACTGTAGTCATATTTTGTGAATCGTTATAAGACAGCCGTTCTCTCTGGTTATAGTGGTGAACAAAATGTATCATGTAAGAGACAGAAACCTTTGTGATATGTCAAAGAGAACTTGAAAGAATTGGGGAACATTGAGGAACAATAATGAAGTATATCAAAGGTAAAGGATAAAACTCTCGGCGTTGTTTTATCCCAGAAGGGTGCGCCATGCATTCGACTTCATTAGGAATCGTTGGTGGTGATCGAATGCATATCTGGCCTTCACAACGACTCAAGGTGGCCTAGCGATATATCGAGCTAGTTCTGCTATCTTTCCAGACGAGTCTTGTACCAAGTTGCTGACCCCAGAGGAATGGAAATCATGGTGATCGACAGGCACTAGAATCGATCACATGTGTATTGCAGGGCGCTGCGCTATGCACGCCCATATCAAAGGACGTTTTAAAAATTAGACAGGGTTGTCATTTTGTCGTGCGGGAGATCCGTATAGAACACGTCTCTATTTTGTCATTCGACGTAATCCTGTGCATTTTCAGTTACACTGTATAAAAAATTTGCCCGAATTTTTCACTTATTGCATGGTTTTTCGTGCCTATTCACTTCTATGCTAGCTGTTGTAGGTTCCTCCGCTGTCTGTTGCTGGACATAGTGCGCATGTGATTGGATCGGAGATGTTGATATTTTTCGGATATCATCCTGAGATAGGATTCGTTCATAACGTTCAGATTTTCAATTTTGGTAAATATCTTTGTAAAATTTCGGCCTCGTTGCATTTTTTGGTTGTTTACGCCGTTTTTTTTTTTAGAAAATAGAAGTTGGCGATTTGGGAATGTAAAGGATCAAGTATACGGACGGTTTCGACATTCTTCTGTTCAATACAAAATGGATACGGTTAGTTACTTTCGCTTTTCGTGTTCTTTTTGAAGTACTACTGTACGAGAAGTAATGTGATATCTTCATGACTGGACTTTAATATATTTGCGAAAGCCTGGATGTTTACGTTTTTAGGGTAGACTATCAAAGTAAAATCTCCACAGGAAAAAAGCGCAAATTTTCCGAAGTTAAAATACTATCTTATGAAAGCGTTCCTTCAAAAAACCGAATTTTATCAACAACAGCATGTTGGCTTGCGATCATTAAATACTAAAGTCGGACTTCTTCGATCTCATAAAGATCCTATCATCGCATTCCAACGCATAAAGATTGAAGTTAAATTAACTGAACTCATGCAGAGCAACGCCAATGTCCGAGGGGTTTAATACGTCATAATTAAAGACAGCAATGCTAAAAACAAATATTTGTTACATGTATAACTGGGTTTCAATGACAATGCGTAAAAGAACTTGGAGTTAATAATGTGGAAACAATTTTTTGAAAGAAAATTGATTGCACATTTTTCACTTCAAACAATGTCAAGAGATATAACTTCAACGATGCTGAGATATTTGCAAAACTCCGGATCGCAGGTGTCTGCGGTGTGGAACGAACGCGCTATTGTCCTTGCCTCGGAGTAACGCACTCACCACCACACCATGCGAGTCCTTGGTTTCGCCTGTCTCTCAGTTAATTCTATCGATCTCTGCTATCAGCAGTCACCTGTCGGTGGGTTTGATCTGGGGAGCCTAAATCGGCAATGAACCCAGTTAAGCTGAGGCTTTAGTTATAATCGCAATCTTAACAGTTTTACTTACTGCCTACTATTTTCAATGGCAGGGTATAATGCGAAATATAACTTCAACGATGCTAAGATATTTGCAAAACTCCGGACCGCAAGTGTCTGCGATGGGCTCCCCAGATCAATCCCGCTGACGAGTGATTGCTCACGGCAGAGATTGATAGAACTAGCTGAGAGACAGGCGAAACGAAGGACCCGCATAGTGTGGTGGTGAACGCGTTACTCCCCAGTAAGGACAATAGCGCGTTCGTTCTCCACCGCAGACATGTCGTGAAAAATTGTTATAGACAGTGAATAAAAAGTTAACTCTCGGCAGTGTTGTATAACCCGTGATATGGTTTGGATATAGTTCATGAAGAAGAATCCCTATCGGAATCCACCTGACTGTGTCCCACCCAAACTCCTTGATATGCGCTATAGGATAGCCTACATGAAGAGCTTGTAGAGTGCGCTCAACAAGAATATTGTTTTGTAGTTATGAAGCTCCTCTCGGTCACCTTTCTTGGGTGGGATGACCGCGCGCGGTGTCCTCTGTTCTGGGATTTTCTCTTCCTGAAGGTAAGATGTTATGTTTTACGAAAAGTGCATTTAATTTGTGGTCTCTGACTCTAAAGAAATCGGCGGTGATATTATTGGCTCCTGAAGCTGTGCCTATCTTCATGCTTTTCATCGCAACTCGACGTTCAGAGGGTTCAAGCTCGGGTTGTTTTTCACTAGTGCGAATTTGGAGTTTGAAACGGGGGTTATGGAGCGGAAAAGATTGCTATTGAACTTTTCTGTTATTAATTCCATATTATCGCGGGGTGTAGCGATAGTCCTATCTTCATTCATTACGACAGATAGCGGAACATAATAGTTACAAAGATCCCTGCGGAATTTCTTCAGTATAGATTGTTTTTGAGCTGCTTCCAGTAACCTTTTCTGCTTGTAGCGATGTGAATGCTTCTAGAAAGGTCTTCTACAGATGGCATTTATCATCAGCCGTGTTAAATATGTTACAGTACGATGAAGCTTCAGTGTTCTGCTTTCGAGTAACTCCTTGGTGGTAATATAGTCGCGGTCTTAAATTTTTCTTTGGAGAACTGAGATCAATTCGACACAAGTTCGTAGTTCTTCGACAAGAATCTTGTGGCCATTGATCGTCTCTTGCTTTATCTGCCAGTCATATGAGAGGGTTTTATTGAGAATATTTTCCTCATATATAACTTGTTTTGTTTTTCTTATATGTTATTATGACAGGTGTATGCCTATGGCTGAATTGATTGTTCGCACAGAGAAGGCGGTGATCAGAGTACGGAATCCACTGAGGTGTCAGAGAGGCACCATTTTCTGTTTCATGAGAATATGCTTGATCTTAGCATGAGTCGTGCCGTTAAGAGACTCCTGTGTCCATCGGCCACTTTCTCTCTTCTCGAAAAATCAATTACCATGGAAGAGATGCGGCGGACAAGAGCCGTACCAGACGGTTTCTCCACTCTGATTTCGTTTTCCTGTTCTAAATTTCTCAATCCTCTATTCATTTTTGTTGTCCGTTGTTATTCTAGCGTTGATGTCGCCAACAACAAATTTATAGAAGGGCTTCTTATTGCAGATGATTTCCTCTAACTGGTAGTCGAACTAGTGCATTTCGCTCTCGTCAGCTGTACAAGCTGGTGAGTAATAGTTGATGATAATGACTTTCTTTTGATGCACCATTTGGAGACGAAGAATTGCCAAACACTGTGGTAGCATTTCGTTTAAAGTGACAGTATGGGAAATAGTTGAGTGTATGAGAAAGCCAACGCCTCCCATATTTCGTAACGGTAATTTCCTTCCACAAATGACAAATGTTTCGTCATCTAATTGGCATATGTTGGTCTTTCTGCTCTTCATCCGTTTTAGGGCGACCGCATGGAATTTGATGTGATCATCTGCGGAGAGCGTGAAGGTAAGCGCTTAAAGAGACTGGTCTGGTGTTATACGCGGAGCGTAAGGACCAGCCTCAATAGCATGTTGTGGGAGTTCTCGTTTTGTACATTTCCAATGACATGTTGTTCAACCCGATATTTGATCACTGGTTGTCTCGCCGCCCGATGTCGTAGATGGGAGCGCCCATTGTGGGTGCTGCTGAAGTCGGGGATTTACTGATTTAGCCATTGGACTTGGCCAGCCTAGCCAAAGCCTTCCTCAAGTCGTCTCCACCTCAGGCAGTCGCCGCCCATGTGCATCAGAGAGAGATTTGCCGCTATGCGACTAGTTCAATACAAGTACGGTGGCGATTCCTTGTATTGATTTACTCTTAACTGGATTTCCGGTTGGATAAGTCGGAATCTTTAAGCTTGGAAGACCGTGCTAGAGAGATGAATTCCACATTGTATATGGCAACTCGACACCAAGAAACACCTGCCGGCCACGGCGAAGCTGTAAAGTGTTGGGAGGAATCGACAGTTAACAACCGAAAAACACAAGCAACTCTATAATACTTCGAGGTGTAGTTGTTGACCAAGATTATGTGCACGTAGTTGCAGTAGATCTTCCACGGGTCTAGAAGACCCTAAGTTACTGCGTCAAAGGGGGTTCATTTATCGAAACTTTAGGAAAGAACGGCTCTTATGAAATACTGGTTTCCTTTTCACTAAACCGGCACGTTGTCCTCATCTTCGTTTTTCTCCTAACGATTCTCGAAGACTGTTTTATGGTAGGCCACTGTTAACTCTGTAAACTTTAATCGCTGAAGTGGAAAACTGCGACGAAAAGGTGAAATAAAGGTAATAAACGAACATGAAAGAAGTCAAGAAATTGGAAGATGTAAAAACATTCACGATTGTTTTGCGATGAACTCGCTCCCTCCAATTCATAAAGATGGCTCCTGGCAGTGATGAAGACCTAGGAACACCCTAGCACAAGTGTTTCAGGATTACAGGAGGAATCAACTTCGCGGAGGCTGATTCGACTTCTGCAATCACGGACATGCTTCGACTTTGCAAAAATCAATCGCTTATCAGCACATAACGGTAGATAGGGATCTTAGGATTTTAAAGACGTGACGTATCATTATCAAAGCACGGAACTCATAGTGACATATTTCATATTAACATTTATTTTATATCTTTTTTTGTTTTTAACATATTTATTTATATTATATTGTTTTACATTTTGTTGTTTTTTGTACTTCTGTTTTTTTCATATTTTATTTTTCATGTTTCGGAACACATAGTAACATAGTAGGCGTCGTTTTCTTGTTCAGCAATCGCGAGGTTTTTAAACAGCATACATTTACTTCCATAGAGAAACACAATACAATACAACACTAGCTGACGTTTCGGCAGTATCGTCTTCTTCAGAGCCTGGAAGAGTATACTGATATACAATCTACTAGGCCAAACGCTTCAATAACACTTACAAAAGGACGAAAAAACTCTATGGTAATTACATGATCAACAGCTTCTCGAAAAACCCACCGCTTTTTACATGACTTCCAATGAGGAAGCTTAGAACAGCTGATTACAGTCGCATGTGGTTGATGACTGCACCATCCCACATCAGAAATTGATGCGAACATACGGGGTCAGGTCGCGTAGGACCTCTGGTTTTTTGAAGTAAAAGCCAATATCTTTGCACAAGAGACTAAAACACCAGCGCGAAAACTTCTTGAGGCTTTTTGGATAAATGCCAAAAACCCTACAATGAATAGCAGGGAGGAATGCCCAGAGGTCATATGCGACCTGACCCCGTATGTTCGCATCAATTTCTGATGTGGGATGGTGCAGTCATCAACCATATGCGACTACAATCGGCTGTTCTAAACTTGCTCATTGGAAGTTACGTAAAAAGCGGTGAGTTTTTCGAGAAGCTGTTGATCATGTAATTACCATAGAGTTTTTCATCTTTTTGTAAGTGTTATTGAAGCGTTTGGCTTAGTAGATTGTATATCAGTAACCCTTCCAGGCTCTGAAGAAGGCGATACTGCCGAAACGTCAGCTAGTGTTGTATTGTATTGTGTTTTTATGGAAGTAAATGTATGCTGTTTAAAAACCACGCGATTGTTGAACAAGAAAACGACACATTCATATTCCAATGCCGAGGTTAACAGAAAGTCGAACCTGGGAACTATAACATAGTAGGAATCGTTTCGAAAGATGAGATAAACATCATATAAGGGAGTTCCGAAGATTCTTAATAAGCGGCGTTGGAAAAATGACGGCTATTAATTACGTTGCCCTCCCAGTGGGTTACCGCCTCATCTTGGCTGGGTGTTCCTAGTATCGGACTGCGATTTACAGCGGGGGTTCGTACCCCAGCAGGATTTCGCGAGCTGAGAAGGAGTCTGAGTTCGGCGTTTCCATCAGGAAGCCCAGCCAAGAGTAAACCAATACCAAGATCCACCACCGTCCTGGTATGAAACTAGTCGCATAGTGGAAAGTCTTCCTCTGATCCACAACGACGGCGACTGTCTGTGGTGGCGACTGCCTGGAGCAGACTTTGCCCAGGTTGGCCTTAGGACTTCAAGGAACCACGGTGGCTAAGCTGGCGAAATCTCCCAAAAAAAAGTGGAGATTATACTGGACCCCGCACAATCAGTGAGGAAAGGCCATCCTACTATTTAAATATCCAAGTAATTACGTTGTTATATTCATGAGTCTTCACAAGGTTAATAAAATGTTTGTGGAAAACGTTTAAGCGCTTCTTCAGAGCCGCAGTGATTCGAGTCAAGTATCCAAAGTGTTTTCCATAATGAACACTTGTTATTTAAAAAACGGAGTTTATAAAATGGTAGTAGCAGAGACTACTAGGATTACGATAACTGGTCCATTTATCATACCATTACTTTCGTTTCGCCTCTGCCGCTTGAAAAAAAATATGAAACTCGCCTTCTGGCGTTGAATCGTCTACATTTACATGCATTAGCACAAATGTACAAACGGCTAGTAAAACCATCAAGATGTAGACGGTCAGGGCATGCGTGCTTAGGAAAGTGGCTATGTATCTGGAAGCCCACAGATGTTCCGAAAGAAGGGCACACTGTGGGCTCTCGACTCATTGCAACTGTGGGGAAGATGACGGCTTCGGAACGTTAGCCACAAAAGGAGGTACTGATTATTCTTCCAGAGGTTTAATGGAAGTAGATTTTAAAAAAGTTACTAATTACTTTGATTTACAATGATGTAGTTAGTAAAAAAAATAAAATAAAGCTCTCGGCGTTGATGAATCCTTGAGCGATGCGCAGTGCATACGACTTGATTAAGCATCGTTACAGGTGACTGAATACATTTCTGGCCTTTACAATGACTCGTTGTAGCCGACCGATGTATCGAGCCAGTGCTACTATCCTTCCAGACAAGTCGGTACCAATTCGCCGACCCCGAGTGATGGGTGGGATTGGGTGAACCTGAGGCGGAGCGATTGATCCCATGTGTATTGCATTGCGCCGCCGACCACTGCGTTATCCTCACCCCACTAATGTAAAAATTGTTAATTCTTTCCATCTGATACTGATAGTGGCCGCGTCTGTCACAGTGATGTAATTAGGTTTAAAATCGGAAACGAACTGCCCATCTTCAGTTTCGTATAGCACAAACGAAAATCAGTTTAAAGGTAAGGCCCCACCTGCATATTTCGCTTCGCAAGATGTCTGTGTCGAACCGAGTTCGCTTGCTCTACATGAGCACTGCTCAATGGTTGTGATGTATGCCGTTAATGCACTGTTGGCGATAAAAGAGAGTTTAAGATATTAGAGTGTAGATAATATAGCGACAAATCACTTTAAATAAAAGTAGAACGAAAGCGAAACAAAGAAACCGTTCACTTTTTTGCTTTTAATGGTAAGGCGACATGGAGGACGTAATGTCGAATGCCTCAATAAAAGTAGAAAACATAAAAATATAGGAACATTTTATGTGCTGTAACAGCATGCACATGTCTAAAGCAGTTAAACAAAGGCAAGTATAATGTAAAGAACGCTTAGTAGACGCATACCAACTATAAACTGCAAAAATAAAACAAATGGAAATCAATGGAAGGTGTAACAACTTGTCCTCAACCTCTCAAGTTCTTCCGTGGATATAAAAGCACTAGGATTTGCAGAGAAAGGAACTATACTGCAGTATTCAAAGTTCACAAAGTTCAATTCTGAACCAACAACGCATTCTTATTTCATTTTCTATCGATATCATAAGTCGTTGATATTGCTTAGAATGGATACATATTATATCATAGAGAAAAAGTTGGATATACTCAGCTTACAGAAGAAAGCACCAAAGGCTGAAAACAATGTGGTTGGATCGTTGACAGTAGTAACACATAGCGCATAGTATACGCACTCGGGCAATAGAGCGTACTCTTTTCAATAAACAAAACTGTTCTTTTTACAATTCTCCAAATTTTATAGTTACTAGGAAACAATGTAGCATTATGGGAAATCCAGCTCGATATTTGTTTGAATCGCCCGCAAGGGTAGTTGTTTGTGCTGTCATCCCAAAGGAGGAAGTTCTTTCGTTGAGGAAGACCCGTTAAACGCCGAGGTTCTGGAATGTTTTAACTGCTTGTGGACGTTAATAACTGTCGTTTACTACTTTATGTAGCCATGCTACCATTTATTCTTTGTACGTTACGTATTTATTGAATGGTACTTATGCGTCATTTTTCGCTCAAGCGACTTTCTAGTTGCTAATCAGTCTTTTTTTTTCGCGTCGCTTGTTTAATATATAGTAAATTTTAGTGCTGTTAGCTTTAACTTTGGTATAATTTTGCAGTTTGTTTAGGGTGATGTTATCTTCATATATGGAGGGACGATGTGGTCGAAGACGCAGAACAATCTCACGGATAGTTTGATGAAATATGAAGTAAAAAATGAGAAATGGTTAGTTTAGAGTATCGTGTTTTTTATCAGCTTTATGAATTCATTTTTCTAGGACTAATCTTCCTCCTTCTGGTATACAACTATTTCTACATACTGCAACGATCCTCAACGGCCTTATCATAGTGGTTGGCGGAAGTGGTTACAATACAAGTGAATCTCGTTCAAAACAAGAATGTTTTTCATCAATGGTTCAGGTCTATGATATTGGTAGGTTACAATAATTGTATAGCACAAGTTCCAGCGGTATTTTTAATTGTCGAGCCATCGAGGTGCCTTTGCCGTACACGGAGTATCTGCTCGTATGTCACATTTCAAACCATATTATGGGCTAGTTGGTTTGCATTTCTTTATCAGGGATGCAGCAGAGTTATATTATTGCTCCTCGTAAATCTTATTAGTTTTCATAAACATGAATCTAATGTTTTAGTCATTGCTGTTGTTTATTATTCTTTTTTCTTACTTTTATTGTATTTCAGCCTGTAAACAGTGGTATAATATTTCTTCTGATGCTACTGAACTAAGGCGGTATGGGCACACTGCAGTAGCAACTAATGATGAGTTATTCATATGGGGTGGATTCAATGGGAGGATGTTGAATGATGTTTGGCGGTTTACAGCAGGTTAGTGATACCTCTTTTACATTGCCCACTTGCGAAAAAAAGCCTCATTTTAAGCATTTTTTCTTTTTACATCACTTGGGATTATTTATTTTACGGATACCAGCACTTTTTGCATTTTGTATATCGTGCACGAAGGTCTTCGAACATTTCGCTTGTGGTCTCGACGACTGCCTGAGAATTTTTCTTCTTGTCATGAATGTCGTTGAATGCTGGTCGAGTTGATTCTTCCCTTAGTCCTGAAATAGCTGTTCTGTATGGTTTCCGCTTAGACTAGAGGCAGTGTGCTTATCTAAACAAATCTGATACCAATTTTGTGATCCCCGAGAAACGGTTGACTGAATGAAACCGATGATTGGGGGGTCTAGCCAGCATTTGACTAGGTTGGGCGTCCGTGTTATGAACGGAATCACTGTCATTGCAGCGCCTTATCCTCAGTACTTCCAATTTTGTAAAATAATACTATCACTGTTACTACAGAGATCGAAAATTTACACACTGAAAGAGATAAGTCGTTTTAGTTAGTTCAATGGAATATAGTTAGTTGAATCAACAAATGGAGAAGTTTTTGTTAACATGAAAACCTTCGTATGATTTGCTACGCAGTAATTCTCTTTATTGCCACAAAGTGTATACCAGGCTTGGCTAATTAAACTTAGGTATGAACAATACACTTTGTACAACAATGTAGGAATAATGAGATTAGCAAGGAGCTATATGTAGGAATAAGAATAGCTTCAATGAATCAATGATTGGAACATCTACCCAAATCAAAGCAGCAGGAAGAAGATGGCGATTGTAAAAACAGTATCCAAGCGGACAGAATAATGACTGATGTTCTTACTCATATTTCTGCTTGAGTAGGCAGAGTTGTGGCGTACCTTCAGAGTTTCGCTTCAACTCAGATCAATTGTGGGCTCCTAAAAACACATGGTGTTGTGTCATGTAAAAAAAAGTGCATCATTCTTGCTAGTATTTGAAATTTTACAACAAAATTCGATCATTGTCTTTCCAAATTTTCTGTTTATAGTTTTTCAGATATGGTGGTTGAGCTTCTTTAAAGAAAACCTCCCAAACATTTGATATACCTTTGAATGCATTTATCTCGTTACTTTACAATATATCCGAGCTAGAGTTTTTGTCTCATGGAAATGAGCAGTGAGATGAAAATAGTATGATGTAAAGTGGTCAGTTATACCGTGCACTGGCTGTATGTGAAGTTTCTTCTTGGTCTTTCTAATCGTAACTAAGGAGACAGTACACCATTCAACATTTTTCGTTTAATGACAGTGGAAAACTGATTGGTAGTAAAATTTAGATCATTCACATTCGTAATATCTTCTGCATTTCTAATCAGTATCAAGTTCAGCTAAATGTTCTTCGGCTACACGACCGGACGAATGTCGATCTTTGTCCGATGGAGTTAAGTGCGTGTTCACCGATCGCGTGTGTGTTAAATTTTATCCTTTCGTCAGCTACAAGCAGTCGTTTTTGTCATTCATTAAGAACGAATCTCCTAAATCCATGTCGGAATGTAGGAACACGGCACTCAGGTAGAAATTCTTTACTATCTGCATGTACAAAATACCTCGATGTTACAATCTAATCCTATGAGTATATTTCTGTTCTTTCGAATGGTATATTTGGTTGGGAGTGGGTGGATCATCTATGGTGAACATTTGGGAATGCCTTAACAGCGTCAGGTTTTCGGGATAAAGTGTTCGCTGTTGATTAATGCCATAGTGATTCATGCATGTGACTTCGTTTAGGGATAATTGAATGCATGTATCAGGTCAGTTTTTGTTCTCCCAGGCAAGTTGTTGATTGACCTCACAGTCATGGATGAGGTTGGTTTACTGGGACTTGGGATTGAGCCAACGGCCCTCTTTGTATTGCATGGCACCTGTAACCATTGTGTTACGCACTTCTCTTTTCCTCTCTCTTTCTCTCTCTTTGTATACATATATATACATATATATATACATATATATAGTTTAGACAGGCGCAACAAATATGTGACAAGCAAATTGACTGCGTATCGTGTATTTCTGAACCTGGATGTGGTTGGTGTCCTACAGGAGACCAGTGCCTTCCTAACGATCGTGATTGCCTTGATGGACAGGTAAAGAAGAATAAGCATGCTTCATTTGTTCGAATTTAAGAGGAAGCGTAAGAAATTCTTGCTTCACAATCAAGCGTAAAGTGGGAGTTTGATGCTGGTATTAAAACAATCTATGCATGAAAATCTTTACCTTTTCAATTGGATTATATGCAACATGTTTCTTCCACAATCCATGAATCTAGAGACCTGGGAAATAAGTAGCAATGAAGCACCACCCTTGTGAGTTTTTCAACAGCCCTGTGCAAACATTATTGGTGCATATGGACAGATCTTCATGTTCTGTTCGACAAAATTCTACTAAATCTCGCAATAAAAAATTGATTATGTTAGTACAAAACACTGAAATACTCTGATCGATGGTTTACCTAGAAGTGTTTTTATTTTCGGAAACCTGTTCTTATGCGAAATTTTCGAGCTGCTTCAAAATTTAGTAATTCGGTCAGAGAGATCTGCTATCTGGCTGCGTTCCAATTGAATAGTCGACTTATGAGCGTTTAGTCTCTGTTTCTTTATTTTTCCTCTATCGTGCAGTTAAGCTTTTTATTTTGTAAAATCGGGTGTTTCAGATTGATTACGCCTAGACACTACAGCTCTTAACGCACTTTGCTTCAACAGTAGCGATGCTTTGTAGTACAAAGTTTTTGAAACAGAATTTGCGTTTAGTTTCGTTAACATTTGCCTCGTCAGGTAACTGGCTGACTTTATTACTCATTCACTACTTTACGTCCTTTCGTGAACATGTAATTTTAAATCGCTTAATTTTTTCCGTTTTCGGTTTAACAAATGAGAATGAAAAAAGAAGACTAAGATCATTTAGGTATTTAGCATAAATCAGTGAAAAGATATATGGAGTAAGTAGTTTTATGTAAAAATAGGGATTTATTCCAAAATAGGCACCAGGTTTAATATTTCACCTGTTATTATCGTTTCTCAAATGCATTTAGATTAGAGGTCATAGTTTTAAGTAAAATTAAAATTTGATGAAAACAATTACAGAGTTTGGTTACTGGCGGTCACTACTAGAATTTGTCATTAAAGCAGAACCGAACTTACCAGTTTCGTTAAACTTTAGTTTAACAAACATTTATGACTATCGTTTAGTGAATATGTCTAGATATTCTGTACAAGAATTCTTAATACACTATGTTTTTAAACTGTTGAGCTTACACGAGGCTGATGAATATATTTATCTCGGCTAACGTTTCGACGTCTTCGTCATCATCAAAGACTCCACATCTTAATACGTTATTCTTACGAACTATCCTTGTTGATTTAATGTTTTTCTTCAATAAGCAGACACGAGGTTGTTAATATAGAATTTATTAGAACACAATAGCTGACGTTTCGGCGCTTTCGCCTTTTTCAGAGCCTGGAAAGGTCAAATTGAGATGTGATCTACTCAGTCAAACACTTTCGTAATCCTAGCAGATAAAACTTGACAAATCGATTTGCATTCGCATAAGAAACAGCTTCATTCAAGCACCTACCGTTTATTTGTTGTATTTAAGTTAGTTGATGGACAGCCGCCGCACAGAGTAATACATGGTCGATAACTGGGTCCATGTCAGATCATTGGATCAGCCTGAGGTATGGCGCTAGGTCACGCGTGATGACAAGACACTCCTCCTTGCGGTTCATTTTTGAATTTTTGGCATTGATCCAAAACGCTTCAAGAGTTTTTCGCGCTGATGTTTTCGATTCCTGCGTAAGGATAGTGACTCCTACCTCAAAATCTTCTCCGTTGTGTTCCTGCATCCTATGCGCGCCTAGTGGAGTATTGTGTTTTAGTTTAGATTTACCGACTAGGTGTTCTTTTATGCGGACGCAGAGCGGTCTACCCGTTTCACCAACATATTCGTGCCCGCACGCTTTACAAGAGATCAGATAGACTGTACCCGAACTCATGCAATCACCGTCTCTACCATTTGGGCAAATTATGCAGTTTTTTGTTGTACATAGACGGTCGTATAGGTGGTTGCGAACTAGCTGGCGTCTTAGGGTGTCCGGTGTATTTCTACCACTCTTACGGAATCTTCTAGACCAGCCCTTATTAAGCAGTGTTTTATAGCTGCACTTATTTCGTTTGAAATAAAGGGCAACAGGAACGGAGCCTTGTTTTCGGTAGAATTATCGCTTTGGGGCGTGGGATTTCCTCGATACCTATGCCGAGAAGCTACAGTTTCGTAACCATTTGAAATGCCTATTTGCCGCGCCAGTTTCGAGGATTCTTCCCTCTGCTGTCTACCTGTGCACACGCTGGCGGCGGTTCGAAACATATTTCTTATAAGTGCCCTTTTAGTGTGTGAGGGTCGAGAGGAACGGTAATGAACCACTATATTCTTACTGTTTGGCTTTCGATACATTTTTGTGTTGTAGCCGTTCTAGCATAGGTTAATTTGAAGGTTTAGAAGTGGAAACCAGTTTTCTTTTGGTTTCTCTCAGGTGAATTTTATGTACTCTTACTGTTCATTCAGTAACTTAAAGCATTTGTCCATCTCTTCTTGTGTGGAGCAGATGGAGCAAAACAATCATCTATATACCTACAGTAGAGTGACGGCCTGAGATCGATTACTGGTGCTTCCACCTTAGACATAAAGGCAACGGCAGGGGTTGGTGCCAGTCGCTGTCCCATTGCTAACCCTCTAATTTGCGCGTAATATTTCCCGGACCATCTGAAGATCGAGCAGTTTAAACTTCAGGAGCACCATAAGCTGCTGAATCGAAAAGCCATACATGTTAATTGCTCCTTCGTGTTGCTCAAGAAGCTCGCGGATGGCTTGCATTGCGGAGTCGTTCGACACGTCAGTGTAAAGGGCGGTAACGTCGAACGACTCCATAACGTACGCGCTTTTGGGACGTGCGTTACGCAGACGGTCTAGGAACATTTGGGTGTTCGTGAGATGGGCTGGTATGTGCCTAAGCAACTGGTTGAGGATTAGGTTTATAAACCAAGCAATTCTATCCGTAGGCCCGTTTACACAACTGATGATGGGTCTCACTTGAACAGTGGAGGGGTCGGTAGACGCCAGATCATCAGCGCATATTAACTTATGGGTCGCATATAACTTATGGGATAAGTATGGGACGGGACACGTCGGCACTTCGATCTTAAGATGCGAAATGTCTGCTGGTTTTAAACCTGCTGCGCTTGCCGTCTTGACCCATTCGCTGTTCAGTTTTCGATTTTGAATTCTGAATTCTTTTTCAGTAGATGCGCGATAAAGAGATGCGTCTTCAAGATGTTTTTTTGTTATATCGACATCTAACTGGCGAGGAATTACTTCAAACTCTCCACCCTTATCACTAACCGATAACCTAATAGTCTTTGATTTTATTAGCTCTAGAACATGTCACATACCAGTTTTTTGCGTAGCTGTAAGGTTCGAACTAAACCTTTTTGCGCGGTAGTAGCTAAGAACTTTGAGTGTTTCGCTCGAAGATATACGAAATTTTATATCGATTTCGTCGTTTGGGGGAGGGGAGCTAAAGTATTAATGAAGTCCAAACTTTTGAATAGATGGTAGGTTAGGATGCTACGGTATGCATATCTCTCGGAAATATCACCTATCCACTACGATGCCAAGATATTTCCACAACTTGGACCGCAGGCCAGATCGAATCGCGATTACTCTTCCAGGGTGCTCTTGTGTTACGCATGACATCACTGAGGCCCTTGCTTCGCCTTTTCTTCAGCTAGTTCTCTACCTAACACTGCCTTCAGCAATCACTTGTCAACTGGATCGGGAGACACGGGCCTCAGTGGTGCCGTGTGTAACAGGTAAGTCCAGGGAAAAGGTAATCGCTGTTCGGTCTGGCCTAGCTTTCAGGATCGCAAATATTTCAGCACTGTAGTAGTTGTATTTCACACACACCATACCATGAAAAAAATAGACAGTGAATAAAAAAGTAAATTTTGTTTCATATCCCTTTTTCTAATCTTTGAAACCGATCCAGATGAAAAAATCGATCTTAAAAGGCGCATAGTCACGTGTGGTAGTGAGGCATTCCCCTTTTAGGTCCATTTTTTTGGACCACTCGATGTCCGCATAAGGCAACATCTAAGTGGGAAACTTGGAACTTAGGGCAATACTCTAGGTACCGGTAATGATTTTGAAGGAACTGTTACAATTTTTTCAGTCTTTTCACAGCAATAAAGAAATCAACGCGCAAAAACTTTTGAAGTGTTTAGGTTAAATTTCGAAAGTCCTAAAATGAACCGGAAAGATAAGTGCTTCACTTTCAGACGTGACCTGACGTGTTAGGTTGATTTTTTGACCTTTGTGGGATTCACTTGTCATCCTATATGAACAACACGCGGGTGCTCTAAGACCTTACAAAACGCTGTGTAGTTTTTAACAAAGTGGCGTTATGGAGTTGATCTTCATTAATTCTATAGATATGCAGCGGCTACCACAACGTTTAACTTTCTATTTACTGCCCATTCGGTTTTCATGGTAAGGCATTACGTGAAATGCAACCACAGGGGTGCTAAAATAAGAGAAAAACTGGGAAATCTTAGTTGGGCTTCGAATTTGCGATTACACTTTGCTGTGGCTCATATGCTATCTACCACATTATGCTATATGGACAGCTTTAGATAAAATATGTTCTGGTTCTGAAGAATGCAAAGTGGTTGAAACGTTAGCCACTTAATGACAACAACGACAACAACAACTGGCACCAACCTATAGTCTAGTTAACAACAGTTCGTAGAAATTACACATATTAAGTACTCTTGCTGTGGTTTACAGAAAGTCTGACTTTTAAGGTATTGATACCTTCAGTCATGTATTGCTGAAATCATTTGTGTAGAAGTCACATCTTTTCTTTGAATTTTAAAGAGATTCTTCAATTGAATTTGTTTCTGGCGTCGTTTTCTCCTTTTCTCTAAAAATATTGGTGGTGAAGCAGTTTACTACTGATTCTTAGGGTTGTAAGGGCTACCACCACTCTGTTGAGTAGAGTAACCACAATTTATAACAAAAAAATTTGACTGTTGTTCTATTATAGAACTTTTTCCGGCATGATTTTCACTTTAC